ATGACTGCTGCTTGTTCTTGTAATGATAGCCTCGGGATTACACAAGATTAGTTTTTCATAGTAAAGCAACAATACCACAAGAGCCATCCTTCACTTAAGAGTGTCCTCATTCATTTCCCCAAAAAGTAGTCTGTTTATGTCAGGGATGCATAAAGACCTATTGATTCTCATCATGGATGGTTTCATGCTGATGACTGAGAGGATAATCCTCTGGAGGTTGACCACTTGAACAACAGGTGCACTACTACAGGTCAGTGATGAGCTCACTGTTGCTTTTAGTGATGAGGGAGTTTATTGCACAGGGAATTGAAAGATTACTCTTCCATTCAAACCCATACTGATTTTACCTAAATCTAAAATGTTTCATTTAAATTGGGGGTTTTCCCCCTTCATATAACAGTTTGTCAGAATTGACAAGGCCACGCTGCCAGTATTTTATCTGCCACTTATCAAAGCGCAGCGCTAAGGGTTTTAGCTGAACAGCAGGCTACTACCCTATTATTAAGAAAAGAACACACCAAAGGAAGCTTATTATCTAGCTGAGTGGCTACAGTATATGCTGTCTATATGGTGTCTACATGCTACGCTGCACTGACCCCGTCCATTGTCCCACAGACTCAGGAGGCAAGATGCTCGGTAATGCTACTGAGACCATGACATTTACTTTATCATCTTATTCAGCTTGGAAAACCAAGTGCATTTGCTTTGCGGCTTGCCTGATGCATAACTTATGCTGTATGCAATCAGTTTGCAACATCATCATCTGCGCGAGTCACCGGCGTTCACGAAGAAACGTGTAGTTGGTAGATTGATACCATCATGATGCCTCACTAAAAGAGGAATCAAGAGAACGGGGGAGATGACAGCTGTTGTGAAACACGACAGCAGTTGGCGTGCCACTGAGGAACTTGCGTGCGCAGTTGCTGACACATTAATGGTATGCAACTGAAGCTGACTGGGAATGTTTCCCAATGTTAAGTGCAACAATTTGAATATGTTACTGGTGTCATCCACTTTGTGAAAATATTTTTTTTTTTCTTGATGGCTTGAGATAATTGACACAAAAAAACACTGCTCATCGTTACCCTCTTAAGATTTTATTCATTCAGGCTTTGTTAGCTGTAAGTTACTTACAAAAAACACAATGCGAGAAATCTCAGAAGTTTAGAAAAAGCATTTGTACTGAATATGCTGGTGTCAGTTCATTAGAAATGTATGTCAGGTAGGATCCTCTGCAAAAGCAGGGGAAGGTTTTGAAGAAATATACAGCCGGAAACAGCCTTCCTCAACACTGTTTCCCTCCCCCGTATGTTCTATTATTAGAGTGAATACAAAAAAGATGCATTTCAAGCAATTCGATAGGTTTCACAGGCAGACCTCAAGAGCCTTCCTTACAGTGTGTGTTCTATGTTCCATACTGTCAGGTACTTATGTAATGGGAGCTGAAAAGCATCATACTCAAGTGAGAAGATCGGGTCTGTTTTTAAAAAGATATAATAAAATTATTCCCCTTAACACAGTCAAGCTGATGTAAATCCTATTTTTGTGTTGATGCAGATGTTTTCATGTTTCTGCAATTTTTGTAAATGGAAACCTTGAAATACCTGCCTTATTGATGCCTAAATAATGGATGTCTATCTGTCTTGAGTCAGCTTTTAAGCTTTTGGTGGAAAATGAATCCTTGGAGAGGTAAGGCGATGACTGGATGAGTCTGGCTCATGCAATCTTAATGCTCATTGTGGAAAACACAATGAACAGAATTTAAGCAAATATCTTTTTTTGCATAAAAAGAAAATTCATTCAACATATGAAAACCCATTTTATTTTGAACTTGCCATTTTCTATTTAAATTATCTTTTTATTTGACTGTTTTGTCTTTTGTTTGAACACTAATATGAATTGGTTAAACATTATATATTAATCTATCCCCTATATTATCACAATATTTAGCAAGACACTAGTTACAGACATTCATTGAGAGACATTCAGAAAAATTGTAGGGTCAGTACATATAAGGTGTTAACCACTGAGTGTGGAGGCTATGAAAGGATTAAATGGCTGTTGTAATAATATAATTAAAAGTAATTTCACCCTCACCTTAAACCATAATATATATGACTATGTTGTTCAGTCAAAGTTTTATCTAAGTAATTCTTGGAATTTACTTATTCTTATTAAAGAAAGTAGTTAAAAGACAGAAACTTATCAAAGACAATGGGTATGACTTCATACCTTTTTAACTGCTATAATGTTCCTGTTAATGACTAAATCCAAAATAGGTTATTGTTATACGGGAATGGAAGTGCCGGGCCTGGAAATTACCTGCCATCATGATGAGAAACGAGAGTCTGGCTCTGCACAGTGCCCTGGGCCAACTACAGGCTTCCTCCTCTATAAAGACAAAACAGTCGTGACAGGTTATCCAGGATAAAATTACGACTCATGTTGATATCACAAATGGAAACCAGCTTTGTTGTGTGGTGCTTTTTACTTTTAAATGCAAAATCGACACTAAAAAAAATGTTTTCCACTTTTGTCAAGGAACAGTCAAAGTCATTTCATCACTATTCGACTCCACTGTTACATATTGTCATAGCTATGCCAGAGCTAAAATGTGTCCAATCAAAAAGATTGGCGAGAGTTTCAAGCTTCTTAAAGTGTGAAAATATCAAAATAGATTTGAGGATGATATTCCTCTATTCGCTATTACCTGCTCAGATCCAGTAGTTATTACCATCTTAAACACAGTTGTTATCAGATACCAGATAAATGGTACCTAATCTGCCAGGGATCATTCCTATGGATTTTTAAAGAATACAAGAAATGTGAATGCTTCAATTCAACCTGGGGATGCACCTGTAAGCTCTGATCATTCACTTATAGAAGTGATTGACATCCTCTAACTATATTGCTCCCTTCCAGGATACACGAAGTTCAATTAGCAGGGAGTGGGGGAATGTTGTAGTCAAAGTCTAGATTTTCTCTTAATATAGGCAACCCCTTTCTTGATAACGTATTCCATGTGAATTAGCCCAGAGTCTGGGGAGCACTCTTGTCAATGCATGGAAATTAGTGGAGTGGAAGTGCATCCCTGGCAAAGAGCCACTGTTCAAACTAAGTGCTGGAAAGGAATGGAATGTTATTAGCTTCTGGATGGCAAACTACCCTTTGACACATTACATTTCGATTTGATCTAACAATCACTGGAATGTAATGTGTTCAGTTTCATTCTGCCATCAGATGAAAAGATTAAAGATTGGATTGGAATTGTACTGCTTTTTAGTAGTTTTATGTCAATTTATATTCCTCTTTCCGCTAAAACTGTTGCTTTAATCAAGAATAAATTAAATGTTTGGATTTATGGGAGAGTGGGTTGTAGTATAACTTCATGGTGTTGCACAAAGTAACTGAAGGTGGTTAGTAATGAGCATAGGTTAAGCACTCAGATGTAAATCCATGTAATCTACTCTAAAACCTTTAATACTCTATGTCTCAGATTATAAACAGCATATATAACTAAATGTATATAACTGGAATCTATTTTTGTTCTGTAGCGAGTGAGCATTGAGCTGATCAAACCCTATTTATCTCTTCAAATGAGATTTTTCTCCACATTACTGCTTGTTGCTTTTTATCTTTACTCATCTTCACCATGTCCTCTGAACATTTCTTCCATCGCAGGTGTTCGTTGGCTCTCACTGTTTGCTGACAACGCATAGTTGTTATTCTCGTATTGTTCTCTGTTATCTTTCCTTTGAGGCTTCTCTGTTAGTCAGTGCTTCATCTGGCCAGCCCTCCCTTTGCACTTCATACTGTGTTACACTACTGCCCTCAATTCCACTATCATCACACTTTTCTTAAACACTAAACAATTAATCTTCACTGCCTGATTAATCTCCTTCTCAGATCGTCTATCGTACAAACCTTTTATACTCAGCTACAACCTTGAGTCATAACAGGAAGTCTGATTTCGAATAACTCGGACATCTCTCGTGATGTTCTCCAGAGATCACTCGATGTAGACATGAAGTGTTCTGCAAATTGGATTAATCTGGATCGATTGGGAACTCCATATTAAATTCAATATTAACTTCAATGAACTCACACACGCACGTATAAATACTCACATTGTCATCCTAGTGACCTTAATGCTCTACTGGCCCCAGTTGTGTACCTTGATGTATTTATGTCTGCTTCTGGTAAACACGCTGGTGCATCATCTTCCTGTAAACTGTGTTAATTAGAGGTTTTCTTTCCTCTTTTTGACATTTGCAACAAAACAACTTTCTTCGAGACTTTTCATATTCTTATTGAAGAAGATTTGTTCTGGTGTTGCAGCTATGTTATTCAGTTAACAGTCTCCTAGTGGCCCTCAAGCCTTTTTGCTGTAGCTATTATTAGCTTCATCTGTAAGTAAGATGATAGTTTGTGAGACATGACAGGATTCCCCTCACATGGGTTGCCTAATGGGAAAGAGAGATGACAGAATGTAATGAAAAAAAATTTGCAAAAGATCCAGTAAGAAAGCACTCCATTGTGCGTATTACTGTATATTGTGCTTTAATTCTTCCTTTTAAGGAATTGTTTGTTTGTCTTTATTTACATTTTGGACACAAGCATGTAAAAATAACACACCAAAAGCAATTGCATGACTTACCATCAAATTAACTATAAAAGCAGATTGTTCGTGTGTATTTACTCAAATATCGACTGTTGTGAATTGCATCTAACTGAGATCCCAAATTTTTGTGACGAGTACACATGAAGTATATTCGTATTTAAAATTCAGCAGACACTAATGCTTTAAAATGGCTTATCTGAAGCTTTTGTGTTCTGGATTTTATACCTTACCTTAGTCTCTGCAAAGATATCTTTTTTTTGTTTTTCTATTAACCTTTTTTCTCTTTGGTCTGTGTTGCATATAAAACCAGGTAATCTGGACAGTACCGGTGTACACTATTTGTGTAATGTATGTATTTGTGAACTTCTTGTATTCACAGGGCATCAACATAGTGGGACCTAGTAATGCAGAGCTTCTGCCTCAACCATCTTTTCCAGCCATGTACCAGTTGGATATTGTCCTAAAGAAAGGGAAAAACCTCGCCATAAGAGATCGAACAGGTATGAAGTCTATTTAATTATCCTGGCTACCTCACTGGCACTGAGGTTAATCTGGACAGACAGTTTGAAGAGTTCACACAAGCCTGAATCTTACCCTCCTAATGAAAACAACGCTATCCTTGTCTGTTATTGCCTTCTAAATTGAATTGGCATCAGGAGCTATTGCAACTTGAATGCTAATGTCCTCATACTTTTAGTGATTTTGCATGAATTATATTACTGTCATCGAATGAAAAAGACCAAAACTATGCATCAGCTGATAATTCTCACAGATGTTGTTTATGTGTTCAATTCTCACAGATGTTGTTTATGTGTTCAAGCCAGCTTTACTTTAATTCTGAGTATTCATTCATAGGTTGGAGCTTTATTGCACAGAAAAAGGTGTCATACGATGTGGTCCTACTGAAGTTTGTTTTCCATCAAGCAGGGACTGAGTATGTGTCATTAACTTAGTCTTACAAAAGATCATTCTGTTTGTGAGCAGTTAGTGTTGGCAAACACAATCATTTTATAAGCGGTTCATAAATGGATGGATGATAAATTGGATGGGTGCATTGTGGCTTCATCAACAGTAATGTGAGGGTTCCCATCAGCCAAGAACATGCTGATGGGGAAACTTGATGGCCTTAGGATCCCCCATGAGGTGTTGCTGTGGAAAATAATGTCTGGGTTTCCCTCCTAAACCAGAAGCCTCCACAACCCTACCTTAGAAGAGGGAAAGAAGAATGATATTGGAAATAACTTTAGAAGATTGTATGTACAAACTCAGCAGACAGCAAAGAGGCACTTCATAGAGGCTTAAATGTTTGCCAGTGATTTCATGTCCTCAATAGACAGCTTTCTGTCTATTGCAATTATGCTTTTCAAGTGCTGTGGCCAGCCACCAAAAACAAGTAAGGCCAATGATTTTTACAAAAATTCTTCCGGACAGAGGAAGGAGTTATGGATAACGAGGCCTCATTAGGGGTAGCAGTGCCCATGGCAACAGATCAGAATAAGATCCATGCTCTCTACTATACATTTAGCCCATCTCCCTGCTCACCTAAGTAATGAGCAGAGAGCTGCTGAGCTCACCTGACTGTCCATAGGCCTTCAAAACAACTCATTAGAGAGAGTGGGGAAGGCAAAAAATATGGCAATCTGAAATAAGTTGAACTAACATTTAAATGACTATATGGATTGATATCTTGTGATTTGTCGTTGAATGTTTAGGACAGGCTTCTTTCTTTCGTATGCATGCTGTAGCCATGACCTGAGTAGTGATATGATGTGATTTCTGGTGAAATACAAAAGAGGGTGGGAGAAGGGCTCAGTGACGGGGTACATGTGGTTTCTCATTAGCACATTATTGTCTTTTCCTCTGTATCGCCACTTAAGTTTCACAAAAGCCTTTTTTCATTCCTGTAATTGTTGATTAATGTTAACTGATGTTATGCTTACATCAGTCTAAAAGATTAGTACAATTTTTCTTTCAATTTGCTGTAAATCGTGATACACTCATAATGAGGATTTACCGACAATTCTATATCCTTGAAGGCCTTGTTGCATTTTTTAACAGTTTGGCTCTTTCAGTTCAACAGAAGACGTCAGTTGGGAGCAGTCGTATCATGATGAGTTAATGATAATCCCACTGGCTATAGACGGATCCATACCATTCCTGTTTGTTGCTTTGAAGTGATATTAAATTGTGTATGAAATATATGCCTCTTTACATAGGTCATGCCATTTTTATTGCGACATAAAGTTAGTCATGCATTTCTGCTGAGCTTGCAGGTGCTATCACTCTTTGGGAGTTCAGTGCTCATTGCAAGGACAGAGAATGCACTTTGGATTTGGACCATTGATCCAGTTGTCTGGCAACACAAGGACACCAATGCTTTCGTATGTTTGAAACTTATTTGTGACTTACGGTACTTGATTATTCTTATCCTAAAGAAGTAACAGGTAGCGGGTAAAACCGGCATTCGGAAAAAAGCATGTATAAGCCACCTTATCAAAATTGATCTTGCAATGATTTTCCCCTTTAAATGATCATTGGGAGAATTTCAAAAGATTATATTAGAAGGGACTTTGCGCCGCACTGAGAAAGAAAATAACCATTGATGAATCTTTAGCACAAGGGGAGGCAGGTTTTAGATGCTTCCCTCCTTCTGCACACCTGATTCAGATCAATGTGACAGACTTTAAAGGGGTCTTCAATCTTCTGTTTTGACTTTACATCTGGTTTTGAAAATATACTGTTTTTTAGTTTTCATTTTTTGAAAACTTTTGTTTTGTTTGTTTGTTTACCTTTCCTGTCTCATCTCCAGTGCATTTTGCTTGTGAGCTCAGTGCAGATTTAGCTTCCTTGCATTCACCCCACGTACACATCTAATTCTAGTCAATGTCCTGTGGCACCTTCATGGAAGCTATTTGTAATCAATAGATTAGGGAAAATGGATTCTTCTCATCAGAGAATTCCTGAAGTGCTTGGTGTGAGATTGTTTGTAACTACTTTGGAGCAGGTTTACAGCCCAGATGCAGTCTCTGACAGAGGGCCTGGTCTTTGGAGTCTTACCCACTACATCTGCTTTCTCAGATTGGTTTTTGGGGAATGGGAAACCCCAGAGCTGTGACGATATTTCAGTTTTGACACAACTTAGAGTCCGTGAGCTGGGACTAACACTCTCAGGCACTGACATGTGCAGCCCCAGAGTCTAGAATCTACTATAACATGAATCTCTCACAGGTTTGCTGCTTGAGTGGGTCGAAAGTTTGATGGTTGGCTGAACTCCATTTTCCTATTCTCTTTTACTTACCATGGTGCGGTTATTGATATAAACCATTTTGACCGGCAGCATTTAGGCTAAATCTGAGTTGGAAGAATTTGATTTCCAAAATGTGCAGGTGAACGCAAAGATGAATTCAGAATATTTTCAGATGTCACTTACTAAAAGCACAGTCCTCTCTCTTATAGTTATTTGTGGATGAGACCAATTGTCAGTATAGACATAGAACAACCAATAAGAGAAATGCACAAGATGAAATGAACAAAACGGGTAAACCACAGCAGATTACCGAAATACTGTCAATGTGTTCATAATGTTGTTGATTTATGTTAAAGGATCTTGTTAGTTTTTGTAACTATCCAGCATATTTCTGACTTAGGTTGATTTAAAAAAATGCTCAGGTTGTTTGACAAAGTAAGAGTAAGTAAGAGATTATGTTGACATAATACATTATTGAAGGCTTTCTAATGTTAGCAGTAGGTGGTTTCTCATCAATATTCATTCTGTTTTTATATCAGGAATGTTATTATCAGAAAGTAGCATGTCTATGAGGTTTATTCTGATTTCAGTAATATCTTTGCATCTATAAACATGTAGTTGTGATTCCTGTTACCTTTCTCTTCTTTCTTTCATCCTTTCCCTGTCCTTTGATAAAATGTAATTCTAATATATCTATATACTTATATTTATATATATGAGTAATTCCGTGTCATTTATCTGCCCTGCCCTGAACCAGAAGCTAGTGATCATGAACACAGAATGAATATCTACAGAATGATGATGAAAGAAAGGAAGCAGAATTTTTAATTGTTTCATTAATAATCATCATCCATTACCTTAATTAAAAACCTCTTATAAGGTCAGTGTTTCAAATAGTTCAGAATGCATATATTAGGTAAGAGAATGATCCAAACTTCATATATGCCAGTTTTCTCTCCAGCATATGTAACTTCTCCAAGAAAACTATATAAAATAACCTCCTGATGTCTGTCCAGTCAGCAGATGTCCAAACAGGAAGTATATTCAGTCTTGTACTTTGTCCATATAAAACAGTTGTGTATGTGTATATTTAAAGGAATTTACATGCTTTAGAAGAGGATAAATGGATATAAACCTCCATGCAGTTTTGGGGGAAAATACATGACATTTTATTAATCTCTAACCAAGTTCAGGGACACCTGAAATAAACACACAGAACAGCATAAGCACGTTAGTAAATAAAATTGAGGAGTATTTCAGTCTGTGTGAGGGTAACAGCACTAGATGTGCACTTCACCCTCTCTAAGCAATGCTGGCTGTTCAAACCTTGCAAGCTTACTTGAGCTTTGAGACTATGGAAGTGATTCCTGCCTTTTGAGTGGTTATCGCAAATTTATATTAGGTATAAAGACACAGTAGCTTTCTCGATACAGGATTTTTTTAAAGCTTTTTTTCTGGTGTTCTAGTGTCAGAATTTGTATATGAATATAAGAATTCTGAATATGAAGATGAAAGAAAATATATATATATTTTTTAATTCTACAACTGTTTTTAGTTGCCATCCAAAACCTTTCAACCCCAAATGTACTGGAGTCAGTGTGTCTGATTCTGAAGTGCTTTATTTGTAGGGACAAAATGCAGGCAGGATGGAGTTTTTCAAACCAAATGGAAATGGCCCTACATAAGCATCCTTTTTCTGCTTTTTGCACTGCACAGTCACAGAACAAAAACTCTCTCTTGCATGATTTGAACGTTGCTCTAAATGTGTTGGTACCAAGTGAAACCTCACTGTTATTAACTTACATCACTTTTTGCAACTAACACACACCAAAGCACAACTGTGGTGGCAGTGGTGGAAATGTCTGTGATATGAACTATTTACTTGTTTATGCGTGGTAAGTGTCTCATTAATGGCCCCAACACACGAGCAAAAGTTTGTTATCGCAGCTACAATTTTTTTTTTCCGGCATGTGTGAAACCGACAAATCCTCTGATGAAACTTTTGTATTCTGGCAGAGTAGCGCTGGCGTTCAGCTGGAGGAATATGACTCAGGTTAGGTTTCATCTAATGAAACAAGCCAGCTAGTTTTGATGTCCTCTGCATCCTAATTGGACTTGAAAATTGTAATTGACTTTGTATTGGGTTATTAACAAACTCTCATTAAACATCATCAGTCATTGAAAACAAAATGAACTTGAAGGCAGGTGGCTATTAATGTAGTCATTTCACATAGTAAACAGCAATGTCTTTCCTAATAGATGAAGAAACATTTGCAGCTACAAAGACCTAAATAGCAATCTTGCATATACCACGCAGTAAACTATTGACTTGAAACTCTATGAACAAGCTTTACAGATGCTGTACTTCTTTTTAGATTATGAATTATTCATCAGATCACCCCTCTGTTGTAGATTATATTTTTATGGGATATAAAACAAATGTTTGTCGCCAGTGAACAGGCATTTAAATATGACACATAATTTACCAAAGTGATTAAGCTAGACAAAACCAACATAGTAAAAAGAACACTTGAAGAAGGCTAAAACAATAACTTAAATGTTTGATGTTCCAGATACCAAAATGGTGTTTAAATAGATAATGTGTGATGATCTATCTTTTCTGCCACCCAGATGTTTGCAATTTGCTTTTTTCCTGCACGGCAAAGCAAATGGGGTCTCTTTAGAAGTGAACAGAATGCCTAATGGTAATTTCAGCATATGTATTCATTACAACTCTTACTAACAGCCTACAGCAAAACACACATATTTGCAGTTTATAAGTGAATATATTATATATTATATATTATATTATGAGAGGCTTAATGACTTATTTTAGTAAACAAACACAATTAACAGAGTCAAACTCTTTGTTATTAAATGAGGAGAGAATTGTGTATGTTTTTTTCATTGGGAAAAAGCATAAAGGTCGGAAGAGAGGGTAGAAAAAACACTTTCAACCAAAAATTTGTTAGCACATTTGTTTTTTAATAAGTGTTGAAGTTACTGAGGATGAGAGACAGGAAATGTTCTTCAAAAATTCCTGCCTGGTGTTTCGATTCTCCAATATGGCCATTCATTCATTTTCCAAGCCCAATTATTACTCGAAGGGTCACAAGGGGGGCCATCCTCCCCGTCATCGGTTGAGAGGCAGGTGGAACCCTGGTCTGGTCAGTCCATCACAAGGCTTTTACCAATGTGTATTTTGTTATATAGATGGAGTCAGAGAGTCTTAATTGTTTTATGAAAGGAATCTATCTATCTATATTTATTATAGATTATATGTATGTATATATATATGCAATATCATGACAGCAATCATACAAAGTTACATTTCACAAAATAATAGTATTTAGTTCAGCTAAGAGAGAAAGTAAGGGAGAGAATTGTTCAGCAGTGGTTCTTTTAACCGTTGGAAGTCATGGGAAATATGATATGCTGAATGAAAACGTGTGAGTACAGTTAGAGATGGAAATCAATCCAATTTGTTTCAACAGCACTTATATTAATATCCTAACTAATATTACTGTTAACTGCATTTTAAACCGGAGTTGCCTTAAACTGAAACCGAGCATTAAAGGCTTGTTTTATTATATTTGCCAATTTCTCCTTTGGGTACTAGCTGGACCTGTAATTGAAGAGTGTGAGGTATACATGTTTGTTCATTTCTGCTTCTTATTCTGTCCCGGTTTACAATGTTTGTTTGTGGTTACATTAATCCCAGTGCGTAATCACTGTTCAAAAGTTAATACAGGGGGATTATAGTATGAGCTCCAGTTTACTTTTGGATCACAGGTTGTGCTTTTAACTGAGCTGCTGCAGCATGCTCAGGTGCCTGGAATAGCAGTTAGGCTTACGAGCAAATAGACTCAAAGAGCAATTTTTATGGTCACTGACCATTAGGTGTTCTGGGGAGACAACTGGGTGGTTGATTATGTTCTTAGCTGCTCATCATGAAGACAAAAAGCCACTTACAAAGCAAGTGCACCGTGGTCTTTTAGATGTACCTGTGTACCACTCCAAAGGGAAACTTACCTGCATTGTGTGCAGCTGTGTTCTGGGAAATGTTTTTTTTTTCTACTACTACCTGGCTTTATAGCTGGTTTCATGGCATCAGGTGCAGTTATGTAAACCATATAATATCTGTTTCTGAGCTTGGGGGCTTTTCATCAGTCAGGCTTACTACATTGCTCAGCCAGAGTCTGTGAATTTAGGAGGTTGTTTCTGCAGGGAGGGCTGCTTATATTTTTTGTGAAACTTCCATAGATAATTTAATCTTCGGTTGTAAAAACTGGGCTCATATCTTAACTGATAGAGGATTTTTTTAATTTGTAATGGGGGAAGTCAAGGAAGGCCATTGTGAGAGACTTACTATGCTGGTGAAAGCTGCCCAAATCTCTGAATATTTTGCCTGGGCTTACCTTCAAATAGGAGTCTGGAAATCTCACAGAACTTTCCAGCTGAGGGGTCTATGATCCTAGGTTAATTAAAGGCATGCTTTGTTTCCCGGCTACCTTATTCCTTTGTTTCTGTTAGTCTACCGTAAAGATTTAGCACACAAATATCAGAGCAAAAGCAGCTTAACAGAGCTATAATTTGGTTTCCCCTGGTGGCACCGCTGCACCAAAACCACACTGACAGTTCATCAATGTCTGGCACATTTACTGTTTTTTTCCTGGGGACACCTTACTGGGCACTTCCATTTCATGGTCTTCTGCCTGCAAGGTAGATAAATGTCCAGGATGCATCAATTCATTAAACACACAGTATTGAATTCCCTCTTGTTTTTAGGCATTCAAGTCAATCATTGTCATTCCTTTACAGTGTATTGATCTTACAATATCTACATCCTACTGACCTATCTGTCCAGGAGCTCTTTGCTTGGTTCAGACAGGACCCCTCTCAAAATGATTTTTTCCATTTAAAAAAATCTGCTATGACTGTCAAGAAAAATAATGGTTTATTTCCAAGACAGGATGTCTCTCATCACTTTCGTGTGCTGTACCCACACTTGCTCATACTCAGTCACCACTCTCCTGCAACCCAGCCTTTTCCATTTCATACTTTTCAGCCTGCATGTGTTTATGGCTCCATAAAGCTGGCACGGTGGCACACAGAGTCAGTGGTGTGTGTCTGGTGGATATTGACCTGTTGAGGGACTGGAAAAGAGAAAGTTATAGAAAAATATGTTTTTTTCTTCTTATATTTTTTTCCCCCAGAGATGAACTGCTTTTGTTTTGATGTAGTTTGGGAGTATTTCTCTTTTGTCTATAGAATTTAAACCATGTGCACATTACAGAGAGATTAATCTTTTTCATTTTGAGTATTATTCACCCAAAGCTTTTTTATGGTAGTATCCATTTTCTGTTCCATAAAACACAGTCACAGCAGGCACCGCTGATTGTATCTGTTGCCTCTTTTCTTTCTAAGTGACGTTTCTGTCCTCTAGCTGTTACTGTCCCGTTGTGATGTGTCAAAGGCAACAGTACATTAAACAGTACATTGTGTATGTGTGTGTATGTGTGTGTGTGTGGCGGTGATGGCTCTGCTGACAAGGATTTTGTAAATGGAAAGAGATAGACATCTTTGCCCTACAGCATTCTTTTAGCACATATTTGTCTGCTTCCACATCAAAGCATGATGCTAAAAATCAGCATTTTTTACTTTATTCAAACAGGTTTTTGTGTTCCTTTTTAATTTCCTTTAAGGAAACTGGTGATACCAATTACAGATGATGAGTGATCATGGCTACTTGAATACTAGATCATTTGTACAATGTTACTGTCCAAATGACATTCTGAATTAGGCTTGGATAAAAAATATTTTACTCTTATATCCTTGACAAAATGACGAATATCCTTCTTGGTGTTCCCTGATGTTGCGAGTAAACACCAAGAAAGTCATTATCTGGGAATCTGATATTTATTGTTATTCAGTGGTAAATGATTAAGTCCTGAACTAAGGATACATGTGTTAATGAGGACTGAGGCTCTCATCTATTTATATCCATCCTGCCAGCTTGCTGGTTGGCCTTGATACATAGTGAACATCAGCATAGATAAATGGGATGTTTCTGACAGAATGTTAGATTAGTTCTGAACAGATCAATAACCATGAGTGTGTATGAATCAGAACTGTCTGATGATAAGATTTCCTTCCTCTCTTGATGTCAGCAATACAAATAGACGAGGGAGTAATAGTTCGTAACACAGAAAAAAGGGTACTGGAATGAAATAATGATAAAGATTCAGGGAAATATGACAGAAATCTGCCAAGATCCAAAAACAAAATATAGGGTGAAATTTGGAAGAAAAGAGTTCTGAAACTAGCTCAGATTTGATCAGTACAACTTTTGCATGTATTTTCAATAATCATATGTGTTTATAAAAACAGAAAGTTTCGTTATGTCTTGTGCTGTGGCTACCTTAGAAACCATTTTTGAGAATCAGCATTCCTACATAACTATAAACAAAAGCTGATAAAGTTGTCTTTGTGCTTAGTATGTACAAGTTGCAATCTCTGTGCAAGAATATCATTAGGGCCTGTGAAATGCCTGACTTTCTCTCTCTGAATTTTGTTTGGATTAGAATTTAAATTAAATTGACTATCCTGAAAATAAAACAACCCTCTTTAGTAGGAAGATGAAGGTTTCTCTGTCTTGTATTTCCTGCAGAGAATATTGAGTATAAATACATGATTTACCTCAATTAATATTTGTGTACTAGCATGAGATGCATGTGGTAAAGGTATACTGAGAGTAGGTGCTAAACCTACATCAATGCTACCATCTAGTGGCCAAGAAAAATAAATATCTGTTATTAAAATAAAACTTCTAATTACTTGATATGTTCTGCTTCAAGTTATTTGGAGGAAGTATTCATATTTATCTGTGTCTGACAAAACATTATTAAGACAAAACAAGAGATCTTAAGGCATTAAATCCAAACATTCAGGATCTATATGTTCCTTTTCAAACTTGATTCATACGAATGATCATTAACAGGAATAACATATTAGAATAATTTGTTACCTCTTTGGCACAATCCCAATTACAGAAACATCCGTTTAACTAGTGATGTCAGACCAGCATTAGAGATCAGTGTTGGTATTGTTCTTGATCTTTTCTAATAGTGTTTCCTTTATTGAAATTTTTCCCCAGGGACCAGTGATCCATATGTGAAGTTTAAAATAGCAGGGAAAGAAGTATTCAGAAGCAAGACCATCCATAAAAACCTCAACCCAGTGTGGGATGAGAGAGTAAGTCTTCTGGTGGAAACCCTGAAGGACCCACTATATGTAAAGGTACGGATTCTTCATGTTGCCTTAATATTTGGGTCAATTTAGATAATTTAAAATCCTACTGACTGATTTTATAAAGTAAAAAAAAACTTCATGACATAAAGAAAACATTTCAACTATATTTTTCGGTAAGTTTTAATTTCAGTCAATCATAGTTTTTAGATGGCAAGAGCAGCCCAAAGATAAATAATGAACCAATGAATATTTTGCATCCCCCACTTTGCAGTGGTAACACAGCCTTTTGTCTCAAAGTTAGGTCTTTTTTGTTTTAAAAAACACATTGTCCTACAGTTCTTAGGTTTTACAAACAAAGACCATATTTAAATAAATCAGGTGATCCTGAGCATGACGATGAATTACATTCACAAAGAACCCATTAAACATATGTAAATATAATGGTTTCTATAGCAAAGACCAAGCCAGAATATAGCAGAAATGAGAAAATAAATGCATCCTTATCTAGACTGGAAAGTCTAATACTAAATGAATGTGAAACAACCTGAAATGTTTTTTTTAATAAAAATAAGATATTAGAACAGAAAGTTTGGCCTTCTTTATATACCAGGTAAATCCATTGTCACACAGCCTGCTGGTGGTTTTACTGTGACTACATTGCATCGCTCAACAGGTTTTTTTTGTCTTGTATGGGAGTTAAAATGACTGAGACTGTTAAGTCATGACTGAATCCCTGGTAAAATGGTTATTTCTAGTCTATGATTGTTCCATATAACAAATGATGATTTTTTTATTGTGGTCAATTGGTTGAACTTATCACAAAGGAAATTATAAAACTTTCTTCAGGTTTTTAGCACAAACTCCTTCCTGGGAAAGTGAATCTTTCCACTTCAGAGGTCCAAAGGATAATATAAATAATTTTGGATTAACTTAGAATTCCAGCAATCCTCCTGGTCTCTGTGACCAAGAACCCAGGATCTAGTGAAAGAACGTGACTGGACTTTTGCCTGATAATTATAGTGTACAGATCACTGCAGAGTGCAACCGTCACTTTAGCATCTGCCAAAGCGTCTGTTGTGGGGTTTTAATTCTCTTCCCTAGAAACATTTAAACCATTTGTTCTGGAAAGTTTTACAGAAGCTAAACTTGTCATCACCTTTTTCATTAACTTGATTTTTCTTAATTACATAAAAGCCTGATGAGACTGCGACTCTGATGCCCTCTGCTGTTTTTAGTCTTCTATACAGGCTGCTCATTGTTTGAGTATTTTTTTCAAACTAAATTAACATGCCAAAACCTTTAAAACCAAATTAAAGTATTCTATCTTGTCTTTTATTAAATAATGGTGTCTTAAAATAACCTTCGGTAGCTTGAAATAGTTCAGAACAAATTTTAAACTGTGATCAGTTGATACATTTTAGTATTAACATTTGTAACAAAGTTCTGTGGTCCATTGTGTTTTGAGTGATTATGTGAATTTTAAATCAGTTTTTTGTCTATGCAAAAGTTGAGAATGACATAACAATATGAAAATATTGTCTGGTGCCAAATGTATGATCATTCGGCTCTTCCAACTGACAGTTGCTGTATTTTGTTTCTTTATAGGTCTTTGACTATGACTTTGGACTTCAGGATGATTTCATGGGCTCGGCGTATCTCCATCTGGAGTCACTGGAACATCGGAGGTTTTTCTTAGCTCTCCTCTTTTACCTAACGCCTAACACTCTTGCTCGGCCTCAGCCTCCTTTCTTGTCGCAGCTGGTTATCTTTAAAAGGCTGCATTGATTGCCGTTTTTCCCTGATGACTGTCAGCTCAGAGAAAAGGATTAGTCAAGATTCAATAAATTCTGAGGCCAAGACTTTGCTCTTAGAACAGCCCTCAAGCCCTTTCTTGTGCCTCTGCAGCAGTAATCCTGATCAAATATAGCCTGTGGTCTCCCTCTAGTGGCAAACCTGTTTAGCTTCTTTTAAGCTCAAAATCTTCCAGGTGTTCAGTGATGTTAACATGGTATATAATATGACATGAACTCAACCACAAAATTCCCAAATTATGCTGTTTATGTGACATTAATATGAAAAATATATCGTTTTCATTTGGAATATTTTCTCAAGTCATCACTGTAAACTTTGAATATTTACTGTGGTGTCACTATTTTGGATGACATTATTATGGACTCATTTTAGACAGAGCTTCTATTAGAAGATTATGTGCCTATGAATGCATGGTATTCAAACAATCACTGACACAACAGGTTTTATGTGAGCATGGTGGTATTTGCATCCCATCAGGACCCTGGATGTCACGCTGGATCTGAAGGATCCACAGTACCCTGACCATAACCTGGGGAGCCTGGATCTGGCTGTCACTCTGTCACCGAAGGAGGGGGACATGAAGGATGCTGTAAGAGATCCACATATTAACCTTTTCACTTCCCTTTTTCGATGCACAGTGAATATCCTCTGTATTCTCCGGGATGATCCACCATATCATACAGGCACTGCGAAATATGAACACTTTCTCAATAAAAGACAAACAAAAAATCTTATATACATTGATGGGTTCAAACACTCTGAAGATTATTGGTCAAGCTCGGCCTCGGTGCGCCTCTAAATTGTGCTCATTTCATTCAGCCTTAGTTGCTGGAAACTTTATTACTAAGTAGACATGTGCAAAACCACAAGTGTAATTAACATGTTATGTGAAAAAGTTAATGTTCAAAGAACACTGGATCCTAATTATGTTGGCTTGTGCCTCTGTGGACACGCTCTACGTTTCAAAGTTGCATTTATTTCTGTTCAATTATTTGTTTAGCTAATTGGACCCCTGCATACTCTATTCGGAACAAGGCAGAGTCATGAGGGAAATATTTTATTCCTTTTGATCTGATGTCTTAATTCTGCTGCTTATGCAGTGCTTTAGTTCAGAGAGTCCACATTTGACAGAACAAATAAACTCTATTTAGGTTAAGCATCATTTTGGATTTCTCCAACTGTGAAGAGAATGAGTACAAGGTTATAAAAATATATTTATTCTGCTCCCATCCACTGTTCTGGAAGGCAGATACAAAGTAAGCAGCACATAAAAATATACTCTTTCAATTGAGTTTTGGATTGATTGCGTAATATTGAGGATGTTTCGGAATAATTAGAATCACATAAGGGAATTTCATGAATTTGTCAGAAGAACTTTTACTTACTGTATTATGTATTTCTACCTAAAACTCTTTGTCATGCTCACATTCACCACATACATTGGATGATGAACAAACAAACAAACAAACAAAAAGAAAAATATAAGGCCATAGTCTTTGGTAAGAACATCAACAGAGTAATGTGCATTTTAAGGATATTTCTCACCTTTGTGGTGCAAAGGTTTTTGTGTTGCGTGGACACTGACGTGGTATTGAACTACTGTTCAGACTAACTTTTAATTGTTGGAACGAGACCAAATAAACCAACAACAGGATCTAAGACGTTTAGTTTTGGTATGATCTTGGTGGAGGAATAAGCAATGAAGAAAAAAAGATACGCTTGTTTGTTTGTGCATGTCTATATTAATATGAATACCCCCTAACATTTAGAAGCTTATACCCTCTGCTGATTTAACTTGCATGATGTTAGCTGCCCTGCTCATCAACACCGTCCCCCACACTGTGCCAGGGCTATTTTCCTTACTTTCTACACTCCATGCCATTCACCCTCTGGGCCTTCAGTTTAAAGACAAGACAGTGGGGTGCGCTCTGTAACCACTTTGTCTCATTTACAGACCATGCTTTTGAGAAGGAACTGGAAACGATCTAGTAAGGTAAACTAAAACAGCATGTAATTCCCCAAACTCCCAACTGTACTGCACCTCACCTATCCTTCCTCACTGGTGTCCTGGATGGAGTCTCCTGGCCTTGTCCCTTCATCCCTCCTTTACTTCCTTCCACAGTGGTATTGGCATAAAAAAAAATCATTCTTAGTTATCATTATCACCATTTTATTTTCCACAAGCTGCAATACATGATCTGCTATTCACACTACCAGAAGGCACCTAAATGTTGCTCTTCAAGTGCTAGTGTTAGAAAACAAAAGGTTAACCGTGACAGATGTGAGGGCAAGTCATACATGATATAAAAACATATCAAGGGGGAAGCAATGCACTCCAATTACTGCCTTTACTCTGAGAGAATGCCTTTACTCGAAAGCTATCGGCTGTGTCCTTTTCCAAGTATATCCAGATGAAGTGGGCAGTCTATATATTATTGCTCAGAAACGAAATAGAACTTTCTTTCTCAAATAGAATAACTAGAAGAATATGACCAGAGAACTGAACACATATTTAGATACATATTTTTTCAATCACAGCCATTCACAATTTAATTAGTCATTGATATTGTTATAGTATGTAAAACCCTATATAATTTTGTCAATTTAAATTGTGAAATGCTTAGGATCTAATTTTGACTTGTCTATGCTTCTTCCACCTTTGATATACAGTGTATTGCAGCAATTCTGTGAGAAAATAAGCAACTGATTTACATTTAGGGGTGTTAAAGTGTCCAGCACAGTAAACTTTAAGTGAAATCTGAAAGTTTGTTGATTGACTGATTATAAGACAATCTTGGACCCCTTTACATGCTTAGAAATCTTTGATTTTCATTATTTTATTTTAAGTTCCTCATTTTCTTGTACGTAACACAGTGCTATCTTTTGATTTGACTGTTTTTATCGACTATTGATGGCTGTTTTGAACTGGAAGCATGCTAATCAAGGTGCTGCTTCTTTTTTGCTCTTGCATGAAGCACCCAGTATTCTTTTTCGTGAGTAAACTATGGCACTGTGATCATCAGGAACAATTTTGCTCACAAAATTGTATCACCTTTGTAAGCTCATGTTTCGTGTCTGTTAAGGTGACCTGTCACCGAGAAAGCTCCACGAGGAGGCTCTGCTTTACTCTCTACTCATACTCTGAATTGCATGTAGAGGTTTCTATAAAAAACACTAAATGATGGATGGACGCTGGATAATGATATCTATCAACAGATATGCATTTGAAGTGTGCCTGGTTGGAACTGGGCACACATCCTGTTTCACTGTGCTTTCTCAAACCAAGCTTTTGAAGCCTCCAAACTGGGCCATCCCACCTGTGACAAGGGAATTAGCTCAAACTTAAAAAAGGATAGTGTTTTCCCAACATTTATGAAAATAAAACTTTCTCCATGTGAGCTTGAATGCCCACAGTTGCTGTTTATCTTTATTACAACCCTCTTTTCACTGTAGGAAATAAAAACTTTTCATGAAGTTGTTTGAGGCAATTATTATTAGAAAATGCATTTTAAATCCATGTCTATCTGACCTCATCATTAAATTGCACTCTGCTATCTCAAGATCTTAAGCATTTGAATACCATTGTGCAGGACCTAGTTTCCCCAGTGCTTTATTTGGTAGATACAAGGTTTTGTTACGAATATTTTATGTTATTTGGAAACAAAATATATGTAGTAATAAAAACAAGGGAAATGAGACTCTGCTCTGGTAGGACATAACGGTGACCTCTCATCATTAGCATATAGTAGCAAGTGAACTGGAGAAATGAAAGATGTGGGTGTTGCTATATGGGAGGTTGGCTTTATTGCAGGGAGCTATTCGCATTGTTTAATGTCTTGAGAATGGAAATTAAGAGGCTTCATCTCTAGATCAAAGGCCTGCACTCGCAAGCCAGGGTTTGTTCAGAGTTTAATGAAATTCACCCGCAAAACAAAAGCTATGCTAATAAACTATGCCTAACGAGGAGGGAGGAGAGAGAAAGGCAGAGAAGCGAGGGACCGAGGGAGGATATGTATTTGTTTGACAAATAAATACCCTGCTCTTTGTTTTAGTGAGGGATACTGACATGATTAAAAAAGAGGTTAAATAGGTCTTTAAGAGCTGAAAAAATGTTGTGGGAGAAACTAGACCTGGAGAATAGAGAACGATCAATCTGAGTTTGCAGAACTGTCAAACATAAGGTACAGTCAAATGGAATAAAAGATATCTGGTGGTTAACAGCATTTGAGTTGTCTGAATAATGCAGACAAACACAGACAACAAATGCTCCATATTTCTGATATGCATATGCTTCTGATGATGCTTCAAGTTTGGACCAAAAGAAGACTGATACACAAGGTATAAATTCCAGCGTAGCAATTCTGGTGTCTTTCTGTTTAAATTCTCTTTGGGAACCAAATGCAGAAAGAAATTTAGGTTGCATTTTAACATTGTAAAATGTTTCATATCAACAGTGAAGGTGCCATCAGTATTCTCTGAAAAAGTGTTTTTTTTGTTCAGAATTCAAGGCAAATGATTGCACATATGGTTTTACCAGTTGTCCCGGCATGTCAGGTGACCTTACACCTCAGGTGTGATTTATGTTAATGATTATCGTCTCGTGTTAAGTATGATCTTGTATGTTTTGCCTGCTTCTATGTCGTCATGAAACAGTTGACGTTATGTTTCCTGAAATATACACATGCCAAAATGATATTCCATAGTGTGTGTTATCATTAAATAACACACTTGCTAACGTATGGGGAAATTATGTTTAAAGGCTTTAAAGTGATTCTTTAAATGCACATGTGTTTGTTTGTGTACTTTCCACAGTGTCAGAGTATGCGCCTGTCAGATGTGCACAGAAAAGCCCAGCTGTGGAGAGGTATAGTCAGCATTAGTCTGATAGAAGGTCGCAGCCTGCAGCCAATGGATGCCAACGGCTTAAGTGATCCTTACGTCAAATTCAGAATGGGCCACCAAAAATACAAGAGCAAGGTAAACTATATATATATAAATATATACATGTATACACACACATAGATACATATAATATGTACATAGACTTAAACTTAAAATCTATGTACATATACTGTACAGTATAAAAGATACTACCTGTGTGTATCTATGCGTTGCTATTTCAGACAATCCCCAAAACACTGAACCCCCAGTGGAGGGAACAGTTCGACTTCCACCTGTATGAGGAGCAGGGAGGTTATGTTGACATCACGGTTTGGGATAAAGATGCTGGCAAGAAAGATGACTTCATGGGAAGGTACAGTAATCATTAAAGTCATTTCAGGGTTTTTATAAAATACTTTAATTGTTAAATGGAAGTGTTGCTGCCTGCTCTGGTGTGTACGTACAATATTTAAGACTTAATGTAGCTCTCACACATGGTGGAATGGTGGTTAGCACCATCCCGTCACAGCAAGAGGGTTCTGAGTTTGAGTCCCCGGGGGAACCAGGACCTTTCTGTGTGGAGTTTTTTCTCCTTGTGTCTGTGTGGGTTCTCTCCAGGTTCTACCGCTTCCCGCCACCATCAGAGAACCTGCATGTTAGGTTGATTGGACATTCCAAATTGCCCTTAGGAGTGAATGTGAATGTGCGTGGCGGCCCGTGTTTACATGTCTCTATGTGGCCCTGCGACGGACTGGCAGACCGACCAGGGTGCACCTTGCCTTTCGCCCACTGAATACTGGGATAGGTTCCAGTCCCCCTGCGACCCCGTTTGCGAATAAGCAGTACAGAAAATGGATATATGGATGGTGGCTATCTGCCATTTTAGTCCAACATGCTTATATTTGGACTTGTCCAGATCTACCTTCTTTTAATCTCCTGCACAAAGCAGATTACTGTAATTGCTTTGCAATCCTGTAATACATTAAACCCACCTTTGCAATCTTTTGCTGTGAACTATTCAACCCAAGTCCAGTGCTTTCTATTGGGCTGCCTTCATTTCAAGATGAGATGCATTAAAAGCATGCCAGAGAATCAATTCAACCAAGCCAGCGTGCTCTCAAGTGCCTAGTAAAGGGTATTAATTGCTTTATCTTTGCCTTAGTTGCCTCCGATGCTCACATCTTACACACAATGCTTGCTTCTCGCTATTTCCTCACTATTTTTAGATTGTTGTCATTGCTATGCCTCGGCCCAGCATGTGATTTGTAACAACTACTTGATGCGATTGTTGCACAGAAATAAGCAGGCTTCATTTGTTACAATGTAGCTTGCTTTTTTCACGTGCTAAAATTTGTTTTCTGCATGTTTCCACTCAGATGTCTCATAGTTTGTACATCCTCTATTTAGTTTGTGCTATGCTTTGTTTCAGGTGTACAATTGATCTGTCACTGCTCAGTAAAGAACAAACTTACAAGTTAGACCTGCCGCTGGAGGAGGGTGACGGTGTTCTGGTGCTGCTGGTTACACTCACTGCCTCTGCCGCTGTCTCAATCTCGGACTTGTCCGTCAACATGCTGGATGATCCGCAGGAGAGGCATCAGATCGTACAAAGATATGTAAGTTAAACTAAAAGTAATATTATTCCCTTTATTTGTTCAGAGTGTGTTGGGTGATTTTTTATTTTTAACCATGGCATAGTAACCAATGCATAACAAATAAAGTGAACATTTTTTGGGTAAAAATAGAAAACCGTCTTTTTAGGTTTCCAAAAATGTCTTTCCAGTCAATTATTTGTTTGTCAACCTCTACATTTTTTCCCCTTCACACAGTTAGAGCCTCTCATAATATAGACCTACTCAAGGGGGAGTTGCTCAAAATGTTGTTCAAGGGGTTTCTGGTTTTGTCTTGAATTGGTCATCCCTCTGTGTATCTTGACATGAGTGTTAAACAAAATGGAAAAAATCTGAATTCCAAAATGACTTTGATTCTAAGGTCAGAGTTTAAGGATGCAGTCGAATATCTGGACTGATTTTTCGATTTTCTTTGAATGCAAACTGTTTGTTTTTTTACTCGTTGTCTTAAAGCCTTATTTGAAAGGCAGAGAAGGGCTGGGAAGAGCCTTAAGGCCCCATCTGCTCCTGAGGCTCTCTACTCAACACAATGGTTTCTAGTCTCTGTCCTGTTTACTCTTCAGTTCCAAGTGTCAATCCTTTCTATGAAGACTCTCGATTCTCAACCATCAATTGATTTCGTTCACTGGCAGGCCTCATCTCTCAGCAGAATTGTGCGTGATGCACTTATTGAATTAGATTGTTCACAAGGGCTGGTGGAACATGTGATCCAGGGATTACCTTTCAGTCATATCTGCTTGAGTATATACGGGAATACTGCGAGTGTGTATTCACATGGTGCTCACTCAGATTTTGTCTGTGTTCGGCAGATTATTGGACAGGATCAGATTACAGTAAATGGAACTTCCCTGCTGGTGCATGTTTACCCCTTTCAACGTGTGCATGAGCTCCGGTGTCCGAACATAAGTGCCACGACCTACATTACACAGTGGTGCCTTAATGGCTAGCCACAGGAGGTTGACCGTTCAGCTTCACACTGCAGAAACCATTTCGTGTCAGAGGGGGGAGCTCTAAGACTGAGACACAGCTACACTCAGCCTCTCCTGACATTGGAAAAATGAGGGCTGGAGGATGCGTATATGAATGTGTGCTTGAGTTTGTGTTTGTGTCTGTGTGTGTAATAGGGGGCGAGAGGTAAAGGGTGAGGGTTGCACCGGGAAGAGAAGGCGTGTAAAATGAAAAGAAAAAGCTATTTCACCTTTCTCACAACTCACACAGACCCCGTTTTTCTGCTTGGCTGAAGGCGACACATTTTACTTCCTTCACCTACCACTTTTCCTGCCCCCTTCTCTTTCCTGCTCTCCCCATTTCTGTCCCATTCTCCCGGCAACCTGGGTTCTTTGTCTGCCACCACTGCGGCCTTCCTTTTAGATGAAGGGATAGAGAGATAGAGCATGGAAAAAGGTGGGGGGTTGTAGATAGAGGGGCACAGTGTGGTCTTTTAGCAGACTTGAATGGTCCATTCCTATTAACATATTCCTTTTCCCCAGACTGGCAGTCTTTCAGTTATAGAATTTAATAAAGATGTACCTTATCAAAGAGTGCTGGTAAGACCAAGTACCACCGCAAATACATAGCAGTGCTGCCCAAAGTCTGCTAATCTGCCCAGCGTGTGCGCATGCATGTCTACGCGTACGTTCAGACACTTTACCGACTGAATGCTATTAGCTTGAAATCGGTTGTGCGGCACAAGTCTGCACATAGCAAAACCTCGGTCACCATCTGTGTCAGCCATGTCATGAAATCAGAATTGTCTGCAGGCAAACAATACACAAAATCACTGTCCAGCTTTAAAGAGCAGGTAGCTTCACAACTGACAAAAAATCTGAATGGAAAGTTGAAATTATGTTTGTGTCATTTGTGACACTGCCTGTCATGAAAAAAAGACTTCCATAGGGCTGAATGTTGCACTGAATTGCCATTAAAAACACCTTTATAAAGACAAACTACCTTATACGTGCCAGATTTGTAAAATAACTTATTTATTTTACTTTACTTTTTACTTTTTAAATTTTGTGTGCTAAGTAAGGGCTCTGAAACACCAAGACAACTCATAGACTCACACCTCAAACAGTCATACTGAATCTGACAGGTGTTATTTTCCCCCACTTCAATTTTCGACCATTGATGAATTCTGATAACATGGACCTTAGTGCAGGACTCTGTTGCTTGCTCTGACATAATCATTGTCCATCTTAATGTAGTTGTTCTGCATTGAGATGACTGTGTGTGCATATTATTTGTGTGCTTTGCAGGTTTATGTGCGCCTGTGCGTACCAGTTGCATTTGAATGCAACATACAGCAGAGATGTATGCAATGGTATAATGCACCCACTTAGAGATAACTGCATTAGATGTTCTATTGCTCACTGTAACCTTTCCTTCATCCCTAATTATAGCTTCCCAGAACTACAGAAGGACAGAGGAAGAGAGGTAAAAAGAGGAAAGAGATTTATGCATCATGATGGCAAAGGAGCACACACACTAATGGCTCTTAATGGGCCTGAGGTGGCCACAAGATGGGTGGATGAGCGAAAGAGGACGCAGTGACCTCCGCTGAAGTGGTGGCACTTCACCACCCACCTTCATATGCACACGTACACACCTGCAGTACCTCTCCACCCCACTCTGGCGTACTGCTGTAAGGTGAAGTGAAAGGACACGACCTGGACGAGAAATGAGTTCCAGTCAGGAGCTGTGCTAAAGTGTGGGATGAGCAGAGATCAGCGTGAGCGCTCCGCTCAACTTGAGCTGGAGTCGAGTGAAACTCAGAGAGGGAAAAGTTGCCGGAATTCACTTTGTCGGTGAACATTCGCAGCCATTTGATTAGATATCCGCTGAACTGAAGGGGCTTCGGGGCAGATGCTGCGTGCCTGTTTGTGAAATGTTATGCAGCTGTGAGGAAAGTTGACATGTTGTGAAGATGACAGTGAGTCAGAAGTCTATGCCGGCACCGATTCATTTGTGTATTTATGTGTTATTGGAGTGTGACAGGGACAGAAAGAAGATGTCACTGTGACAAGCTGTCAGTCACACACAGGGCAGGGGGTTTGTCTTATAAAAACCAACCGCAGTCTTTCATTTTTGCCTTTTCTCATCTGTTTTCCCCCCCTTTCATTACCTCCATATCCCCATCTTTCCTCTTGCACACAGATGTGGGTGTAGGGAGAAATTAGCGGGGGTCTGAGGGGTGTGGGCCTTGATCTTGGTCTCCATTCATCTGTCTATCTCTACCTGTGTGTCCAGTCCATCCATGTTGCTGTCTGTCTTCCTGATGAGGATTTGTATCGTTGTGGAGGATGGGTCTGTTGCTGTAGCAGTCATGGATTGAGGCAGAACCTTGGCTGTCCCCTCAGGGAGTGTGTAGGATGGGAGGAAGGGATTAAGAGCAAAGGAAGGCTTGTATATGTGTATCTATAGGAAAATGAACACTGCAGCGCCGTCTTAAATTTTTCAGTATTGCAAGACACTGAGGATCCATACACAAAAAAGACTCAAAGACGGAAGTTTTTTTCTTTTGATAAAGAACACTCACTTTATCAAATAAGTTCAACTTACTTCATGCAGACTTATTTTACTCATTTGAAAAAAAAAACGCAGATGCTCCATCCCATGATCCACAGCTGGACTGTTAACGTGACTGTTAACTGTTAACAACATGGCTTGTTAATGCTGACATAAAACCATCACACTAATTCATCAGCCAATAGTTTGCCCTCATGTCTTCCTCTCACGCCTCCCTAATGCCCTGTTTTCGACTGTTTTCTTTCTCTTGCACTTCTTGGCGTCCTCTCAGTAATCACAACAAGCAGCTGTATCTTCACAGAAATCATTCCTTAAAATTGAGAGTTGTCCCCTCTCTGTATGTCTCTTTTTTAGCATACTTTCTTCCCCCCTCTTTTTCTTTCACGTGCTCTCCCCCTCTCATCTCCTTTAGAGAGCTTTTGGACAATGATATCGCTGGAAACAGGCAGAGTCTGACAGAGTTGGTAATAATGAATTAAGTCTGTAGCCTGGCCCTGACTCTGAAATTTAAATTATAATTACTCCTGTGGGGATGGAAGGGGTTATTGCCAGAGAGAGAGAGAAATAAATTGAAGTGAAGTGCATTTCCACTCTGCTTTTAAGACATGCCGACATGCTACTCAATTTGGCCTCAATGTAGGTTTTTTTTATGCACTTGTTTATACCTGAGCGTTGTGGCGTGAACAAAAGCGCAAGTTCAGAATTGTTTGTGCATTTGTGTGCCCGTATCTTGTGGCCAGGCCGTTGATCTCCACAGGTTTACCTTTATTCACCCGCTTTACAGAACCTAGTCATCCTTCCCTCTCCTGGTTGTCAAAACTGTCTGCATACAGTATGTCTCCAATTATTGTAGATAGTCACAAGGCTTCATTGCATCTGTGGAGGTCAGCGTGTTTTTCCCCCATAATTTTAATATCCCCGGCAGTCTTGCTTCAGCCCTTTGCATAATGATATTTTTATTATCACATTAACATTATTTTCTTAAGACCCCCCCACCTTCTGAGTCTAACACAGAAGGACGCATTAATATCAGTAAGATCACATTGCATGCAAATTAGGCCTATATTATATATTTTTCGTATTCTTTGGTTGAGTCAGCTGTATTGTAATATGTTATTAACCTATACTATCTAAAAACTTTCTTTGCTGATGAACTAACATGTTACTGTGCTAAACTGAACAAGCCTCTTGTCTTTAAATGATCTACTTATATGAATCATTCTCATATGTGGTAGCAACTGCTCAGCTTAAATTTCCTTACCACAACCTGGAAATTCCTCTTATCTAAAAGGTACAAAGTTATGAAGATTTTAAACAGGCGAGCACAGCTATTTTGCTAAATTAAATTCAGCCATTTGTCCTTTGTCAGCCTCAACGATAAATGCCAGCTCTACATTTTCAAATAAAGACGAGTAAAGGACACCTCCTACCCTTTCCTTACTTAATGAAATGTCAGGCTGTTGACCCGCCTTTCACTTCAATGCTAATTTGCTGTCTTCTTTGACTTGTCACCTCTGTTCCCATGATGTTGCAGAGCCTCTGGAGGTCGTTCCACAACTTGAAAGATGTGGGTGTTGTGCAGGTTAAGGTCATCAGGGCTGAGGGACTCATGGCTGCTGATGTCACAGGTATGACAATTACCTTAAGTCAAAACAACACGATTTTAGCATGTACACCTCAAAAACGTTCTGTCTTACTTTTCACCCGTGGGTGTATGTTTAAATGTTTGTATGCTTTGGTTATTGTCCTTATTCTAATTAAACGAACACTGTTCACACCTCGACTGGAAATAGTGCTGCGCCTCGTCCTCCATCATCAGTCTGCCACGAATCTAACTAAAGACAAAGTCAGGGTGTAATTTTGGTTTAATAAAAGATCCTCTGTGAGAATCCTCGGAGAGAGTTAAAGTCTACTTTGTGCAGGACACAGAATTAGTCTCTGCATTTTTAGCAAAGATGCAGACTGCTCATTTGAATAATAGAGAAAAAGTGCGCATTTGAACCAACAAATCTCTCTCCTCCCTCCTTCTGCGCTCTCTCTGCTTGCTCTCTCTGAACTTCCATCCTCCATTAATTCTTAGTTTTAATTAGGTCTACAGTGGACGGGCCTAGTTTTTCACTTGGTATTATCTAGCAGAGAGGGGCCGGGTTATGTGTGTATGTGTGTGCATGTTCGCGCGTGTGAGGGAGACAAAGTCTGGAGTTTTTCTCCATTTGAAACACAGTCCCATTAGCAAATACGGAGCGGAGCTGGCTGATTTGGGTTATTGCAAGGAGTGACAGGAGAAGTCAGGGTGCAGGGCTAATGGCTCTCTGGTTCATGTATTCCAGTCGGAGCAGAAATTTGTTTCATATCTCTGATGTAAAGCTCATCATTCACTCTGAGCTTCAGAGATTCTTCTAAAAAAAAAGTATTGGTGATGAGACTATGGAAATATCTATTAGCTCTTTATTTGTCTTTTAGATTGTCTTCGCTAGTTTGATTGGGTTATAAAAAATGTTTAAGTCAGCTATTCCAAAATTATTTCTGGATTCTGACACCAGCTTGAACTAATCCTGAAAACAGAATAACGATCAAGCTATTTTGGCCTCAACTTTAGTTCACAATGGTTTTCTGGAAGAGAGCAATATTAAAATTTTTACTTAAAAGATGACTTTTAGGTTAGTCACAGTAATATTTCTCCATTTTACATGTTAAAAGAGCATATCTTTTTCTTTTGGGTGTATTCGGTCTTAGTTCTGTGGGAAACTTTCATTTTTTGTATGTGCGTACTTAAAAAAAAAAGGGAAATGTATTTTTCTAGCATAGAAAATATTTCGTTTGAACCATTTGACACTTTCAAACACAGCAAGTGAAATGATTGGTTAAGGAGCTGTTCCTGGATTTCAGTTCTGAGTTTGATTCTGTGTGTATTTGTGTGTCACTGGCAGAAACAATCGTTCTGTAAGAGCCCCATAAGAGCACTCACCACATGTACACCCTATTTTAACAACCCAGACCTAGAGAGGGTCAGGATCAAGGCGAGAGACAAACAGAAGGACAGAAAAACAGACAGACCGAGACACAGAAAAACAGAGAGAGGAGGTCAGTGAGACAGAGAGAGTTCACCATCTCTCTCCCATTTAGGCTTCCTATCTGCTCTCCCATCTTTTTTCCTCCTCCTCTATGCTCCCTCTTCTTTTTTAGCCGTCTCTCTCTCTAATTGGAGTGTTTTTGTGGAGTAGCTCCACTCCAGCCCAAGTAGGATAACTGAAAATAGTCTCTAAAACCAACAATCCCTTTTGTATGCCAGCTCTTGTCCCTCTGAGGGCATGCTATACTGTTTGAAAATTTCAATAACAGCGAACACACAGACAGGCATTTTCAGCAGAAGCAACTTCATTAGCATCACATGGAGACTCCTGTCCTGCCAACATTCAAAGAAAAACCTGCTGTAAAGTGTACATTTTCTCATCATTCGTTTAAGAGTATTGTAGATTTTGCTTTGTAGAATTTTTTTAACGACAAACCAGTGAAGCGTGAATAATGACCAGTTGTGATAATACAGAAACATGAGCGTCCATTCTCCAACGTCAAACTTGTAGTGTGCTCAAACCTTTCTGTAACGCTTCTTCATCTATGCTGTATCCATCCTCCACACGTATGTTAGTACATAATACAATTAATTTCGGTCCACTCCTTTGCCTGCCAGTGCTACAAATATGGGAGCCAGAGGGGGGAGGGGCATTATTTGGACATTACCTGGATGTTCACTGAGTGGCACTCAAAGCCTAGCGTGTAATTGGTTAAGACAGCTGCCTCTGGAGATGGCGGCCAATAGGGTGAAAGTTCATCACCAATAACAACTAGCTCTGCAGCAACACATCCAGCCGCATTATTAGAAACGGAGTATCAGAAAGCAAACGGGGGGTGGTGGGTAGGAGGGAAGCAATACAGAACATAATTTCCATCTACTAATTTAGGTGATTGCATTTCAGTTTAATCAAACTTGATTTGTGGGGGCAACATTATAATCACCCATGATATGAAAGCACCTTGACTTATTTTCTTTACTCAAGAGATTTTTCCATAAAGATGATCAATAAAAGCCACTGCAAAATTATTCTTGTTTTTGCCAGTTTACAGTTTCAATACAAATTGTTGTCGCTTCCATCAGGATGTGTTGAAGGCAGAATTTGCATCTAAATACAAAACAAAATTTGCATCTAATTAATAAATAACCGGCAGTACAGAGATCCTCTGAAAAGCAGGCAGTTGAGTCTGCTGCATTTGGTCTGTTTTAATGTACCTTGTTTTCAGTCGCAGAAGTCATAGATGTCAATATCCACTTGAAACACTCTACATCAATAGAGCTCCACAAACAGATATGAAAGGCAACACCTACGCCTCAGCATTGATCACAGTGACATTTACTTTACACACCCACTAAATGTCCTACCCTTGTCACAACATTTGAAGAAAATCACACCAATCAATGACACTCGCACATGGGCGCCACCTCTGACACACACACGGACGGACTCAAACTTCCAGGGGCTTTGAACTCAATCCAAAAGTTATTGAAATTCACTGTGGAGCACGACAGTTCCGCTGATAATTCGATATTGCTCATATTTTTCTTCTATGACTATTTGGGACATTTTTTAACTTCCTGACCCAGACTTTTCATGCGATAAGCTTAGATAAATATTGCAATGACTCGTAGCATTTTTCTTCTTCGAATCAAAGACAGAATTAACAGTGATATTTGTTTTTCATCTTAAGGCAGTCGCTGGGGGGGTGGGCTGGCAGATTTAGAGAGCCTCAGTCCTCCAGACTTGTAAACATGATGTTTAACAAATAAACTAAGAAAATAGAGTACAACACTGGTTTGATTAAGACAAATCTCAAGAGAGATACTTGTTCCCCTTCTCTTCATCTTATTATTTTTCCCTATATGGTAACATAATTGTAGTAAATGCTATACTGAAGGATTTGTTGAAATTAATCAGTATTATTAGTCCAATTTGAGTAATGGCTAACCATCCGCAACATCACATCTTTTTTTGAGTAGTAATGTGTCAAAGCTTGGCAAACATAATGCATTTGTGATCCATAAGTTGTTAGAATTATTTAATGAATTACATGAAATGTTTGATACTAATGAGACTAATACAGCTGCCATGCATTAAACTCCAGAATTAATACTGTCTTTATATGCGTAAAATTTTATTTTTTATTTATTTAGATGGTGCTTTTTCCTTGTCACTCTTTCATAATTTAATTCTGCATGTTGTGCCTTCTTACACTCCTTTTTTTTTGTCTCTGCCGCTGCCATCCCACCCACTCTGTTTGGAATCACTGATCATGAACCAGCTATGATTTTCACACTGTGCACGCTGCTGTCTATATCTTCTACTCAGAAGTTCTCCGTTCTCTGGAGTCACATCAACCTCTGCGTTCTTAGTACCGTTTACTTTCAAAGTCCTCTCTCTCCTTTTTTCTCTCCCACCCCCATCTTTTGACGGCCTAGGGCACAGTTGTCCTGGAGCTTATCTTCTAGTTGTCCATCTTTCCGGAGCTATGATAAAAATGGCTAGCAGCTGCTCAACTGATATACTGTTGTCGAACATACACAGTACTGAAGCTAAAAAAAGAGGAGAAAGAATAAAATAATTATAGTCCTGATAAGTCTAGGGTATTGGAGCTGTCATGTGCTACAAGGGTAGATATTATGTACTACGTCTTAATCAAACCTGGTGGAATTAAAAACCTGAAATTACACTTTTATTTGTGGCTTGGCAGGTAAGAGTGATCCATTTTGTGTGGTGGAGCTCAGTAACGATCGGCTGCAGACACACACTGTCTACAAAAATCTCAACCCAGAGTGGAACAAGGTCTTCACTTTGTAAGTAAATAACTATACTTTCTTATCAAATTAATTTAAACTAAACCATACTCAGTGCTGTCATCACAAAAAAAGATAAAATACACCAAACTCTATTCTTATCTCACTCGCAAGCTTTGAATAATTTTGGTTATTAGAATTAATTGCAGACTGTGTGGAGAAAAAAAGAAGTTGAGTATTATTAATATAATGCTTTTTTATATTGTGTCCTTCATGTTAAGGCTATTTTTAATGTTTTGGAAAAATTAGAATATGATAGAGAATATTTTATACTGTACATGTTCATTTAAAAAAATGTAAACATAAATAAGCCTGAATATGTAAGTGGTTTTCACACTTTTTCTGTTTGACGCCCCTATTTCAATACCTATATGTCACTGTTGTTATCTTTGTTTGTGGTCCAGTAATGTGAAAGACATCCACTCTGTACTTGAGGTCTCTGTGTACGACGAGGACCGAGACAGAAGCGCAGACTTCCTGGGGAAGGTGGCTATCCCTTTACTAAATGTGAGTCAAAGGCAGATTTCTGTCTTTGTTTTTCTTCTTCTCACAAGAGCAATGAAAAATACTGCAGAGGAACAGACAAAATGAGAAAGACAGGAGAAGATCTAAAACCGTAGAGGTTATTTTTGCAACTCCACTGATGGCACTGTTACTATTATTGCAAGAAAAGGTGTTGACAGGAAGGAGGAAAAAAAAGTAATGCAAGGGAAAAAAAGCCGATAAAAGATAGAACGTCAATGAAAGTATGTGGATGAGAGATTAGATGAAATTGGCACTGATAGAGGGACAGTATGATGCAAATTTCGGGGGGAAAAAGATAAAAGAAAAGAGTCTGTTATATTTGTTAAAAATAAAGAGGGCCCGTAAAAGTTTAGGCTCTTTGGTGCATGTATTCTCTGCTACAGTATGATTCCCCTGGATAGTTAATTTCTGTTTGACAGAGCTGAGCTGCAGTGGGTAATGAACAGGTACTTGTCAGAGTTGCCACAGTTGTTTTGGGTTCCCTGTCAGCGGCAGCAGCTGGGGTTCAAAGGTGGCCCGGGGAACCGATTCAGCCGGGTATTGCCAGACAGACGCCTGTCATGTCCCTCTCCCACAGATCCAAAATGGAGAACGCAAAGCCTACGCCTTGAAAAGCAAGGAGCTGACAGGGCCAACAAAAGGGGTCATCTTTCTCGAAATAGACGTGATTTTTAATGCTGTAAGTCTTTCTTTTGCTTTTTTTTTTTAGTATATTTGCTGTTTTTTTTATATTGCCCCTCCACCCTTTATTATCCTCTCCCTCTCATCCCTCTCTTGTTCTCCCCAGCATTCGGTCCTTTTACGCTGCTGTTGTCTTTATTCTGTTTGTCTCCCCCCCTCCCTCACTTCTATCTCATCCCTCGTCCCTTGTCCCTCGTCCTCATTTTGGCTTTAATTATCGAAGACTCCCTCTCTGCCGCCTTTGTTCACCCATTCACCATCACTGTGTGTGTCCTACAGCGGCCATCTTATAGCTCTGTTGGCTGCTCTTTCTCTCCTATCATACGGGGCATGCTGATTGCATGTGATACTATGTTATTCCAGCGCACAACAATATATACATATATACACACAAATACAAAAAAATCTGTATATTTATCATTAATCTATCTCTATCAACTTCTCTTTCATATATACTGTATCAAATCCTATTACCGTAAAAGTTTCTCACCATTTGATGTTCATGACACTGTGTGTGTTTTCTCCATCATCCAGGTGAAGGCAGGTCTCAGGACTTTGACTCCCACAGAACAAAAGTATATTGAGGAGGAGCCCAGAGTGTCCAAACAGGTATATCAGCAGCCAACACTTATCTTCTGCTACCCCACTTTTTTTAAAAATCTGTGTCCACCACTGCACCTCCTTATTCTGCTTAACTGCCTGAAGCAAAACCAACAACACTGGTGAGTGGCATCTTGTAAAGCACAACAACTGTGTAGGCAAGATACAACAGGGTGATTGAAGGAAAAACAGCATTTTGTCTCTTTTTTCCGTCCCTCCTCTCCCCCCTTCTCTCATCTCTTCCCCCTCGCATCCACTCTGAGCAGTGAATAGAAATGTCAAGCTGTCAGCTCTGGGGTGCATAAGTAGATTGGCCATCCTTATAGTTGGCCCTCTTTGCCACTACTGCTTTGCACTTCATTGTCACGCTGCTCAGTGTGGCGGCACCACAAAGGGATGAATAGTAGGGGCTGGCCCACATCAGACATGTCATATAAGTGACCGTTCGGGCTCAGCAGTCAATGTTACGCCATACACAGTCTGACACAGTCTTGCCCAAGACAACACAACCCACACAGAAGCTCCCATACCACCCTTTTGTCAGCCCTCCATCTATTCCCTTCTGCCCTGACTGTTTCTGCCTTCTCTGCTGCTCCCTATCTCAGCTCACTCTGTGCTTTTCTCCCAAGTGCACAGTCCTTTTTTCATCACTATTTCACCCCAAACTCATAGAGATGACCCATGTCAGCGTCTCGGAATGATGATGTCACCGCTTGCTTTGGAGGGATTGCCCCATGAGGGCTCTTTTGTGTGGTAGCAGCACCCCTGCTGTTTCTTCTGGTCTAGAGGGTAGACCAAAAAAACACGCGTGCTGCCTGCTACATTCATGAATTTAATCGCAATTATAGTATTTTAGTTCACGAGCGACTTTTCTACTTTTCTGCGTGTGGTCATACCATAACTCTAAAACCCTGCTTGACATGATTCAGGAAAAGTAGAATCATCCTGTCAAGGCAGTTGTGCCCAAAAAGAGTACAACATGTACATGTAGTGAATGTGCTGAGGAATGTGTGCTTACACACCATTTGCAGTTTTTCTGGTTTTTTAGACCTTTTTGTTTTCAGCACAACACTAAACAGTCATCATAAGCTTGCCAACAGGGAAGCAGCACATGATTACATGTATGTTCCACGATAAGCATGTTTAGGCATAGACATACCTCATGATGGCCTAGAACCTTTTTCTTCTTTTTTTAAACAGCGGTATGGAGGCACAGTTAGTCCTTTGGGAGCACTTTCTACTGCTGGTGACCTGATTGGGTGGTTTGCATTCTTTGCTCCTGTTATGCTATTCCCTTAATAGTTGGGAACCCAGGGGGATGACTGCCGTTAGCCAGTTCTCTCTCATTTCTGGCCAAATGCCTGGAGAATGCTCAGGGAGGAGAATCCAGACCCTGTGTTGGAGATTGTTTTTCATTTTAGCATTCTTTATTTCTGGAGGGATGATCTGAAGAAACACTGTGAGCCAGCTTGCAAATAGCAAATGTTGTCCTGTACTAACAAAGATCTATATATAGCGTTCTAAAGAAAGGAAAGAACACTCATGCCTACACAATGAGTACAGTTGTGTTGTAACTGTGAACACAAAGTTAGGTCAAAGCTGTTAGTTCTCAGCTGTTTGTTTTACAAGGTGCAAGATGAAACAGGGTTCAATATTTCAACGCTCATTATTTTGTTACATAATTGTGTAGCAGACAGACCGTTACAGTGTGTTTGCACAATTTTCTATTTTAGAGAAACAGAGTTATTGCAGCTCATTTTCTACCAGTGTAAATTGTAAAAGCTAGCCAGTTGAAGTTTTTACACCTTCTGCTGTCCTCTATCTGTGTGTATATACAGTTTTCCAAATTGACTGTTTAAATGCATGTAAAGGCATGATTGTCCATCAGGCTTCTTTCTTACAAACTATTCTTTTTTTCCCTTTCCCCAGTTACTTTTACGCAACTTCAACCGAGTTAGACGCTGCATCATGTTCCTAATCAACACAGGCTGCTACATCAACAGCTGCTTTGAATGGGAGTCTCCACAGAGGAGCATCTGTGCTTTTGTGGTATGTGGAGGTGCAATAATGGTTCCACTTTTCATGCTGAACACTCGAATTAGGGACACACATGCAAACACTGTTCACGGAAGACGATTTTCGCTAAAAGGTTTAAATCCTTCACTGTTAATTTAACATTTTTAAAACGAGAGACTGATGATGTCTCAAGGGCAGTTAAATACTCAACTATACTCACACGACCGATGACATGTTTTGTTCCAACCCTGTTTCTCCTTTGACTCCCACTTGCTGGTAAAGATCAGAGAACTAGAGCTGTAGCCGAAAACATTATTTTAAAGGACCTTCAGATGTCCACCCAGCAAGAACATACAGCTCCAGCATGTGGACGTTTTACATGAAATTCCTGCAAACAGCAGTGATGACAAGCTCTATCTTTTCAGCACCCACTGGCCTTCTCCTCATTCTTTCAGTCTCCTCTGTCATTTCTGTCTGGAATTAAAAGGTGAAGTTTAATTGGATGACAGAGCTATCAGTAACAGACATTCTCCTGTAGGGCAGTGAGTGGCTTTATTGAAGTTCCTACCTTTAAGATGACAGAGCATACATTTAATCCTGTCTGCTTTAGTGTCCCTGACTTAAGTAGCGACAGGACAGGAGGACCCACCCTGACCCGGCCCTTTACTGTGGGACCACTAAGTGTCTCCACAGCAGACATTAGCAGTGTTTGGCTGTCTGACACCAGTTTAATCTCTGCATAGGCCGTGTGTGTGTGTGTGTGTGTGTTTGTACAGCGGCTCACAGTGTCATCACAAGACATGGGTCAGAAGAGACAGAGTATTGATCAGTTAACATTTTCCCTCTTGTGTGTGTGCATGTGTGGTGTGAGCACACTTGTGTGTCAGCCTCGAAGCCACATGTTTGTATCTTTCCTCTGATGTTGGCTCAAGTCATTTTGACTTATGTATAAAAATTCAATTATTTGATCAGAAAAAAGTGAGGGAAATCACAAAAAAACAAGGTCATGTCAGGTATGCCAATCGACTTTCTGCATAAATATGAGAGATGCAGCCTTGCTTGTAGTGTTTCATAAAAGCATGTATACACACATGGATGGCATACCTCTGATTAACAGCTCAGATTATAAATGCTCTCTTTGCACTCACTTATATTCAAAGCATTCATGTGATGACAAAGGATATATCTAGGCCAAGGACAAAGTATTTTATGTTTTTATAGAAATTCTGAAACTTAGGTGTCATGATGTCCCCACCCCCACCCTTCTTTCCACCACCCTCACCGCACCCCCCACTCTTTTGGGAGTCTGCTAATGTAGGAGTATGCACTTAGCTAAAAGCATCAGAGTATTTAGGGCCTCTCCTCTATGCAGGTATTCCCTCCCTCCTCTTCCATTTCTTCATCTCATTTCTCCTTTACTTTGAGAGGCCTCTTAATCACTTCACTCATCTCTTTAAGTGGGTTTTTATGGGGGGCCATCTGGCCAAGGTGGTGCATTCATGAAGGTGTACTGCAGTGTGTGATTACGGGCATGTGTGTCTGTACACATGTGCTTGCAGGTTTCTGACTGGGTGTCTTTCTAGGCAGATGTTAAACTTTCAAACATGGCTGCCTCTACAGTGGTAGAATTGTGATCAGTTCCACCTCTAAACTTACATATGAACTTCTTAAGATGTAGGTGAGCCTGAGGCTGCAAATTTAAGCATCTTCACATATTCTTGTGATTCTGTGATTGCGCTAGTACATCAAAATGCAGTTGTCATAACATGTCACAGCACCACACTTTCTCTACAATTTTTCTTCATGCTCTCTTACTCTCCTTCTGCCCAGTTCTGAAATGCCAGCCACATGTACACATCACCCATTAGTGCCAGCTGTGATTAGTGTGTACGTGTGTTTTTCGTGTGCATGTGCGAGAAACAGAGATATCGCATAGTCTCACATGCGGCTTTTCACTCTCCCTCTCTCACACCCACACTGCTGTCACCCACCCATCCCAACAGTGAATCAGCCACTGTGGCAGCTTTGCCTGAGGCGTTGGCACAATGGACGGGACTGGAGTTACCTCCTGTCCTGCATGATGGGTGGTGTCTGTGTGTGTCTGTGTGTGTGTGCACCGGTGGTGTCTCCATTCCTTTTGTAAGGGTTAAGCGTCTGCTTCCGTTGTCCACACCTGCAAGCTGAGTGTATCTCCCTTCTATCCACCTATCCATCCTTGTTCTTCTTTATCTCCCCCCTCCTTGCTTTGCCTACCGGAGAGTTGAGGCCATTGTTGGGCTGATCGGTGTTGGGTTCTGTTCTCTTACCGCTGCCAGCTCTCCCAACGGCCCCTGCAAGACAAGGCTGTTATTGCCCCGGGGACTGCAGGCCGCTGCAGCTCTTCCTCCAAACAAATTTGCTGTAACTTTATCTGCAATTGGGCCCTGAATTGGGAGCAAATAGAGGCAGCTTTGTGAAGCTGAGGGAAGGGCGAGGGCAGCGAGCTGGGGGTTGTTGGGGAGGCAAGGGAAATGATACCAGGCTCTTTTATGTCAGGCAAAGTAGGACTCTTATCAGGAAGAGAGCCCAGACAAGGGAGCTACTTCTAGAGGAAACTGGAGCACCTATCACCTGCTTTGCATTTAGATAAAAATTCACCCTGCTGAAATAAAAAAAGGGGGGAAAAAAGCAAAGACAGGTACAGAAGCAACTATTTGAGTGTGTCTGTGTGTGTTTTTGTACATGTCTGGCTGACAGTTTGATACACACACATTCCGCCAAGACACCATAGCAGTCAGCGGTACACACCACTCCAGGTCTCTTTAAATTGCTCCTTTGACTCCTCCTCAAACAGCCTCTCCAACTTTTAAAAGTTTTAAAGCCTGAAGTTCGTCTTTGCCCACAGCAAGGGACAGCTTTGAAAGATATACTTTCACATTTTACTGCTCTCCTGATTTGCAAAATGAATGATAGTTGAAATAGAGTGGCATGACAGACAGAGAATACCAAGTCAAAGTTTAATCACTAGAGATACAGACTGAACAGAAAATGAGGCCTTTTGTCGAGGAATTGCCTTTACAGGATCTTTATATTCAACATCTACCACATTTACTGTAGTGCTGTGACCATTCGTTAATTTTTGTTGACTATGTCCTAACAAGCTGAATGGCTTTAACACATTAGTTTTAGTCATTTGGACCGATTTCCTTCAGATGAACATTAAAAGAGTAATGTTCCACAACTGAGCAGCAGAGGGCAGTCCAGCACCACTGAACGATGAGTAGATGTGGTCAGAAACAGGACACAGTCTCCCTCCCTTTTGTTCCTTCGATCTTAACAGGACTCCTAGTTGCTGTCTGGCAACACTTAGTGCCAGCATGGAAATTGATGTAATAGAGATAAAGGGAAACTCTGAAATCCAAACTTCGGCTTCACTCCACTGAGACAGAGAAGGGGGAAAGTCAGCCCGGTGTGTGGTTAATGTAAGCCAAAGCACAGTATTACCCTCCCACAGCTCTGCTGCAAAAAGCTGTCAGGGCACAGTTGTGTTTTGACACAAATAAGGCAACTCTGAAAGTGTCATACAAAGTGCCCAAATAAATCATTTAGACTTTTTGTCTTCCTCAAATTTTTTATAATTTCTTGAATTCTTGGAAGAGAAACATCAAAGACTTTCAGTTAAATGAAAACCAAATACTTTCACTTGTCAAAATAATGAAGTATACTTGTTTTTAATAACTGTATTTTGGCTATTAGACATTAAGTTTCTATGGTTTTACTTTCTGTTTTTAATTGTCTGTTTCGCTTCCCAAACATTTGAATTTCAGCTTCTGATTACATTTGGAGTTTCTGAAAAACAGTTAACGATCACTCAGTCTGATTTCAGCAGATTTGGCAGCAAAAAATGATTTAACTTTTTTTATGACAAGTGATTTATATATATTTTTAATTTCAGAGCTTTAAACCAAAGAGTGTTAAATCACAAATAATTGTAAGATACATGATGGGAAATTTTAATGACGAAAAAGGTTTGCTGATAAAGGAAAATTGTTACCGTCTTTTTAATGACTGCAACTATCTGAAGCGAACCAACCAAACACACACACACGCTTGCATACACATGCACACACATGCACACACACGCATGCACACACACGCAAACACACGCACACACACAAGCCACACGAAAATAGAAAAAAAGTGAAAATAAGAAAAAGATCTCGGTTACACATTTAAAAATGCTGACAGTTGTAGAATGAAAATTAAGATTTCAGCTTTTTATTGTCTTTTGTTACCAATCGAGCATATAACTACCTATATTTAAATATCAGGTAGACAATTAGCCACTTTTTGGCAATATAGATACAACTCAGCTACAGTCAAATTTCAGTAATGAAAAATAGAATATAAAATAAAAAATGAGGCTCGGCATGCATCTCCCCTATGAGCCATCATGAGGTGTGTTTTTGACCAAACGGAGTCATCTATAAATAATTCCCCCGGTTTCTATCTGGGGCTTCATTTAGCTTCTCCCTCCTTCTCGGATTCAGCGTGTTTTCATTGTTATGTTATTTTCCCTCTGTCTTCCCCTGGTCACTGACATCCACAGCAGGCTTCTTCCCTCTCCCACCTCTCCGGGAGAGGAGCTTCTTATCTGGTATGGCGAGCGACGGGGGGTTGGCTGCGATCGCTTGGTCCTGATGGAAAGGTCCAAGCACTGCAGGGCCCCACTGTCCAGCCTGTAGGCACAAAGATGATCCAGGGCCAGCCACCGCTGTGCCTGGGTGTCCGGTATCCCTAGCTGCCAGTCAAAACTTTGCTCTCAGGCATTTTAACCAAATGGAGTAAGAAAGAGGGGGAGTTGACAGGTTAAACAAACCTCAGGCACACTGAAAATGAAAATAGATTTTTGAAAAAAAAAAAACTTTAAAGAAGGTATTAAGGTGGACCATAAACACAAGGACAGTAAACAATTAACTATCCGGCTGTGTGCTAACAACAGTATAAGAGATTAGGAACTCAGACAATGCATTTGGATGCAGGGTTTATTTATAGCGTGTGTGAAAGGAGCATATGTGTATCTGTGTGAAGATGTTCGTAAGAAAGCAGATATTTATAGACTCTACCAGAATAGGTTTGAAAGAGGTGAGCTCCTTTGTTTGTTCAACTGAAGTAATGTCTGCACCTCTTTTTTGTGCATTACTTAGTCAGGAATTATTGCAGTGCTTATCATGGTAATATATTATACATACTTGTAAACTGGAATAATTCTTTTGAACCTGGATGACTTTAGAATAACTTCATTTTGTGGAGAAAATCTGTTTGTATGTATTCTTCATGCTTTTAAGGTCATGTGAGCTTTTCTAATGAATTCATAGAGGTTGTGCTATACACATATGCATTTTTTTTATTTATTTCTCTCCTATTTTTCTATGCAGCTGTTTCAAAGATATACTACATTTGAGTGTTCAGTTGCTTTACCAGTTTATTTGGCTTCATTTGAAAGAAATTTAGCTGTGAGCCTCACGTTAATATTAACATTTTTTATATTTAGCTCATTACTTTTTCTGTCTGTATATATACTGGAAATCTGTCAAATTTTTTACATTAAGTTGTATTTTTATTGCAAAGTTTGCTCATCGGGTTTTTAGACTTCTGAGTGTGAAAAGATAATTGCGACGATGTACAGATGTAAGCGCTAAACGCCTGAACAGTGTGCAGGCGTGTGTGCGTGTGCTTGTCTTCCTGCAGTTCAGTGCCGGGCTGACTCCACTGCGCAAACAGCATACCGGCACACACACACACACACACACTGCTGAGGGGCTGTTGAACCTCATATTCACATTAACCTGAGACTGCAAACACAAGGAAAAACTGGAGTATTGTCTCAGTCTGTATCTCCCCGTGCGCACACATACCCATACACTTACACACTCAGAAATTAAACTATTTGATTGTTCATTACTGAGCATTTGCTCTTGCTTTTTTCCCCAGCCAAACAAGATAGATCATGATTGGTACACAGACCAAGAAATCTGTTTTCTACAGTGATAGTCTCAATTTCACCATCCTTAAAAGTTTCCTATCAAAACCGTTGCAAAACAGTGATGTGTTTCTACACACTGATCAATTATTACAAATCCTATTTCCTTGTATTTGAAATAATGGATTTTGTGCAGTAGAATTTGCTAAATATGCCTGGAGAGAGGACATTAAACATTAGACATGGTTTGTATTTTCAGCATTTAAAAAAAAATTGCGGATGTGATTTAATCAGTTATGAAAAAATCTCGGATAACTTAAACATATTATTAGAAAAGACGGATATGCTTATCTTTTTTTTGTTGTTTCTGACAGATGTAATTCCCACACTACACCCTATCTCAACTTTTTAACAATTGACACAATGCTGTCTCACAAGTGACACAATACGGCTAAAAAATATCATGCTTCTACCATTAGCAACTGGACTTTCCCACAGATATCTTCTCCCAACCGCCACACTAATCTGTTGTTAGATGCTAAAGAGGCCTGCCAAAAGCAGAATACTGGGATTTGGAAAAGGTTAATTTTCAGATGATACGTTTCTTGTTTAGAGATGAGAGGGGAGGAATTGAGGTTATAGATTTGGCAGATGGGTGCAGAGGAGGTGAGAGATGGGGCACGTAAGTCTTTTGGTGTTTGAGAAGAGGGTATTGGGGTTTGGAGTGACAGGGTGAGGGACTTGGGTTGTGGGGTGTGTGAGGTCATATGCTAGAGTTTGGGGCTGAGCACAGAAGGGTCAACTTTGACTTGCTGTGCCTGATGGTACACGACCTTAGACTCTGAGATGATTGGCATGGAGGAAAGAAGTTCCGAGGGATCATCCTCATCCCCCTCATCATTCTTCTTCTCGGCTCCAGACCCAGAAATCTTTGAGGGTCAGAGGGTCGAACCTCAGATATCTGACACCAGGCCTGTACCTTTGTTTAAACACCATCTTATTTATACCCCTTGCCTCAAAAAAATGTGTGTTGTGTCAAAATGCGCACACGGCCATCTTTCACGCTCAACGCCAGTATGGCGTACAAAATGTGCACGCTCTCCGCTCGCACCGTTCTCACCTTCTTTTCCCCACTTTGTCTTCCAACAGATTTTTGTCATTGTGGTGTGGAACTTTGAACTTTACATGATTCCTCTGACTTTGTTGATGCCGTTGGTCTGGAACTACATTCTCATCGCATCTGGGAAGGATACGAGACAAGACGTGGTGAGTAAGCCTGGTAGAATCATTCCGCCTCTCTTTCATTTCACCGTAAAGCCAATCTCCACACACAAAGCAGTATTAAAATTCAGTCCTGGGTCTTTTATCACAACATTGCAATCTTGACTTATTCTCTTCTTTAATTACATGCTGTATACATGCATTTGTGGAATTTACACAAACAACACATATCTGTCATTTGAAAAATGTGACAGGTCATTAAAATCACGCAGATGTACAGCAGAGACTGAAAGCAGCATACTTCTCTTAAGAAATTTCAGAATAGTCAGAGTAGAGCGTTCGATTAAATTGCACTTGCAAACTTTGAGCTGAATTGGAATTTAATTTTAGAAAATCTCTTTGCCGATTTAAAAAAAAGAAAAAAAAAACTCCATCTGCCACACGAGGAGCTGCATTCTCAGTGCATCTCACATTTCTCACTTTGCCTTCTTTGAGGCAAAGAGAGGGGAGAAATAATAGGCTGTCACCTTGAGCTATGTTACGCCACTTACCTGGTAGTATATTTATTTAATTCATTTATTTTTATCTCTTATACCAATTAAATGATGTCAAAGCAATGTCATGGAGAAACAGACATGTTTTAATCATGGCCAGGCACATTTTGAGAGTAGAGACTGAAAATGAGGGAGAGAGCCGGACTATGGAGTGAGCGTGAACAATGAAGTGATTAATTTTAATAAGTGCCTTCCTCCAAGACTCAGTCGGAAATAACCCGTTAACAGACTTTAGATTTTAGTGCAGTCTCTCGCCCTCTATATGTATATTTATCTCTTCATAAGGATTCTTTGGGTTAGATTGGATTTGGAAGCCGTATTAAATCCTGTCATTATTATAAACTAAATCTAAGAGCTGTCGGTCATTGTAATGTTACACACAAAAATGGAATTAGACGTGAACTGTACATGACATGCTGCACAGATTTGGTTAGTCTTCAGAGCTAATCGCATCTGTTTCTAAGCCTCGACAAGTGACATTAAAATGAGCTAAAGGGGAAGCATACAGTCCTTCTGTAACTTAGAAATGACCATTCACTGGTTTTGTTTTCTCTTTCCTACTCAAATGTAAAATATAATGGTTTAAAATCAAATCAGATCCAGAAGTAAAGGTTTACAGGGGAGTTTACAGAGAAAATAAATAATGTTTGAATGACACACGCTTAAATTTCAGGGGGTGCTTTTCTTCGCCTGTAGATGGCGACATTGCTTGACAAAGAAATCTTGAAAGCAAAATCACGTCTACCTTGAGACAAAACCCAGTTTGATGATTCGTACCCCTGCCTGCTGCTTCTATTCATCTTGACCAAATGATATGAATTTACAATGCACTCTAAATGAGGCAACAAAGTTTACTTATGCTAGTAAACTAGCACTAAATTCCCTTTAATTCCCACTTCATGGAAAATAATATGTCTCTTTTAAGGGCACTGTACAAAAAGATATCTCACACCCGCTTTAACCAACACTATTTACTTTTTTTTTCTTCCGGAGTTATAGCTCAAGCTCCAGGGTTGTGTTTTGCCTTTGAATGTTACTTCATTATTACCATATTCAAACCACAGTTTGGAGCACTTTTGGTTGAATTCCGAGGGGTTTTTTGTGCCTGCTTCTGCCACAAAGCTTAATAGATCATCAAGGCCAGGAATGTTTTAGCTCTAAGAACATCACTGCAAAGCTACATATCTTTCTAATATGAGTAGCCATTTAGCAAGAGCCTAAATGAGTGAGTATTCTGTGTGCATCGTGCAGTTTGATAATGTTGGCATGTGTGTTGGAGTGTCTGTGCTGGTGATGTCTGGGAAATGCTCTGTGAAAAAGCTGTTTCTAACTGCTGGTGAGATAGATAAAAAGAATACTTAGTAAATGCAATTGGGATAGCATGAAGTTAAATGTTCTATTAGTGAATGTACAAATGTGGCCATTATTCATTAACTGTTGTGTTATAGATGTTTTTTTCTGTTCTGTTTAATAATGTTTTCTAAAACATTTTCTTTTACTTGGGTATTCAAGCAGAGACCGAATGCACATATATAGTTCATTATTATGGAAAAATGTTGGGCAAGTGCAAAGAGATAAGAATAATCAATGTCCTTGTCAAACACATATGCATAAATACATGCAAATAGTCTCTCCAATAATATATCTGATGAAAGTATGATTATTAGGAAATTGCATCATTAATGTATCTTTTTTTGGGCTGAAGTTACCATTGTGTTAAGCAGTACACAGCAATATGGAGGACACAAAGAAAACGTTCAGATTTGTATTGTCTCTACTGTCTTAGTGTTACCGTCTCACTGCCTGAGTATTTTTCATTGTGATGAACCATTTCTTCCTGCTCCATTATCAGCTCCCTGCCTCTACCAGTCACAACATTACCATCTAATGTCAAATACAACTTTCCAATACAGTAAAAGTAAAGACTTTTGTATGCATTAGTTATTTTAATGCTTTTGTACTTGCAAATTCCATACTGCACACAGACACACACTTAAATGTAAACTCTGCAACACGGTATCCCCCGAGTCCTGTCCCTGTTTGTTTTCAGTTTCCCAATCTGCAGAGGGGTGGAGGTTTGAGCACAGTGTGAGCATACAATATCTGTGTTCTTTGCTTCCTCTCCCAGTCCCCTGGATTCCTCTGCTGAGTCTTTATCAAGCTGAAGTCATGGTCGACTCACTGTTTCCCTCTTGCACTTGGCACAAAACTGAAAAGAATAGAAAAGAAAACAGGGGAAAAGGCCTTCTAATTACTTTAAACAACACACCAAATTAAAGCATTGTGCTGAGCTGAGCAAGGGTCAGCATCCGGAGCGCTGCGGTTTTCCAGCAGTCTAGGGTGAGGGTAATGCCAAAGGAATCTCAGCTGAACTCACTCCGAAGGGTGAGATGCAGAGAGGGTGGGGAAAGAATGAGGGAAAACGGGGAAAAAAAAGCACACTTGAGAACAGACTTCCTAATGAACTGGCCTTGATTCATCTGATGGGTTCAATGTGCAGGCTCCTCCATGGCTTTACGCTCCAGCCACAGTCCATAACCCTGTGTGTAAGTAAACAAACGCGGTGTTTTCTACACGCAATGATTCACCACCCAGGGTCACTGACTGCTGTGTGGTTACACGATGCTTTGCAAACAGATCCCAGATCAGCACTCCTTACCCTAGCCCCAACCTTGACCAGAACCTACTAAGCAGTCAGAACGTCCTTAGAACAACGATTAAAGGAGGCACTGCACCAGCAAGGTCCCCGACCTCCTCTCTTATCGTGTAGCACCCTGACCCGTGAATGCTGACTCTTTAACACTGTTAGCTGACCTGTGTGTCATACTGGAACACGCTCACTGAAACAAACAAGATGACCTTTTATGCGTCTGAATCTATGTTGAAGATGCTCTGTCTTTGGCATTCAAAGCTGATCATGTATTATCTAGAGAGAAATGTCTTGTCTGTCTACATTTGTTTGGACTCTCTTTTTCTCGGGAGCTGGTCGAGAATGCTAAAAAAGCAACCCTTTCTCTCGACCACCGTTTTAAACATAGATGCATGCCTTGGCTGTTTATAAGGCATGATTTGAAAAGTTTACCACTTCGGCTGATTCCATTTTCTCTTTTTTGCAGCTTTCAAAAGAGCAGCCAATCTATCTCTTCATCTACCCTTTCTGTCATTTCATTAATGTGTGTGTATAAGGTAAATGATGAGCGGTGAGATTTAGAAGCAGGGACATTCCCAGCAGATATCCTTTTCTTGCAGTTCTCTTGGCCCTAAAAAGCCTCTACCGGATGTTAGAAAGGTGTTACTTTCGATGATGGTTGTCGCAGAAGGTACATATGGAGCATGGTGATGTCTTTTTCTACCGCAGGATGAGGGGCAATTAGGTCTTGTCACACTAGAGGACCATCCTCTTTATCCTGTGCTTGCGACCATTACATTGATTCACCCAATGGATCCTCAAACCCATTACAGAGGAGAAGACCTTAATGGTCTGGAAATACTTCCCACTTAAAAACATGCCTCCAAGTGAGAAAGTCGACTACATTCAACCCGCTCTACATCTTAAGTATTACTAATGTAAAGACAAACCTGCTTGATTCAGTAGGTGGAACTTTTATCAGGATAAAAAATGGACTCTTGTGTTCTGATCATGTTATTAATTGCTACTAGTTTGTGTAATCTTTTCTCTATGAGGGGTTACCCTGGTGGCTGCAGTATACTGTTCATAAGTGTGAAAAGATTCATTTCTAAGACAATGAGAATTGCGTACATTATCATATCTACGACAAGAATTCATTTCCATTTTTATATAATCTTTTTTTATTTAATTTTAACGAATGTGGCTTCCCAGAAATCGTTCATGTATCTCTGAACATGCTCTTGAAGCCTGCCCTCATTAAAGGCCAAGCTGAACACAAGTGGGGAAGAGTAAATATCAGGAAAACTGTTGAAAAAAGAGAAAATACGGTCTTCTCCTAAAAGGCACACCTCGCGCTTTTTCCCATAAGAATGCAACTCTGGAAAAACAAGGAGAGTGAGAAAAGGAGATGGAGTGGAAGCAGGAGACAGAAAAAGACAGAGAGGCATTCTGAGAGACAGAGCGACGGCAAGGAAGAGAAAAGCAGCGGCGGATGGCAGGCGCTCCTCAGTGCAGAATCCGACATGGCAGTTGGTGACAGGTGACAAAATCAAAAGGTCATGTCACTTTTAACTGGGAGCGCCTGTGCCCCGCTGATTTCCCCCGTGCCGCCCGGCATCAGCAACGCTCATCTCTGCTCCTCTCACCGCCTCTCTGTCTCTGCTAAACTGGCAGATTGGATGGCAGGCTGGCAGGCAGAAAGACAGGCAACGGGCATAGTTTGAAGCGGGACGGGAGCATCGGGGACGCCACTGTAGAATCTTCCCAGTCTCCCTTTTCATCATGTTTTGCTTCCCCCTTTCCCTTTGTCTAACTCCCTTCATCACACTGAACCTCTGTAAATGTCTATGCACTTTGCGAACAACATCGGCAGTTCAGGGTTTCTGCCTCAGTGCTTGTTGTTAGTTCATTTGGTGCGCCCTCAGTAGATTTTCAGTTTGAACCTTGTGCTTAAGTGTACAGATGTGCATGGCTGTGTGGAGTAGACTGAACATCAAATATGGCACCAACCATAATAGTAAATAGGACCAGTCTGAGAGAGAGAAGGACTTCTCATTATGCTGATTTATACTCATGTCTACTTGCAAGGCCTGTTTAAGCTTGTCTCAATAACTGGTTGTTCCCTCAGAAAAACACTTGCCATCAAGTAAGCGCTATGAAATGTAGCAATGATACTTTAGTGTTAGGAAACTCAATATTTTCCAGTGCTCACATTTTTTGTGTTCCTTTATGACTATGTAGCTGCCCTTTTCGCCCCCTACTACAATCCTCCAGCTCCAGTAGCACCCCGGCCTCAACCCTATCCAGACCCCTGCTGGGTGCTCTCTGGCTCAGACAGTGCAGATGGAAGTGCCCCCCTCTGAGGGCCATGGCTCTGACAGCTTGTGAAGGGCCCGTGTGGGTCAGTTTGGCTCAGCCTTATCAGACACACAGCCCTCTTCCAGTCTGCAGAAACTGTGGTATAGGCACTACAGACACTCACACACACACCCATGGACAGTGCATACCAAGTAGGGCCTTGAGATCCCCCAGCCAGCCACTCTGCCAAACCTCAGCAGCTGGAGAGGTTAAAACCCCCTCACGTATCAAAGAAGAAAAACAGCAGGAGGACGGAGGGAGGGAGGGGTAGAGGAATAGGAGAAAATGGAAGGAAAAAGTATATCTTCATGTTCACCTGGATGTCTGCCTCAGCGTCAATTCCCCCTGCGGCTGTCATTGGGAAGGTTAGGAGGGGAAATAGTAGAACTCTGTCCGGCCAGGGTAAAAGAAGGGTGAATTCATAGGTATTTCAGAGAAACGGTGAAAATGATGTGGCTGCTCGTTGAAAAATTGGATCTTCTCTCTCTCTCCTGGATGATTGTCTGCACTTAGTGAATTGATCCATGCAGGTTTCTGTTCAATTTTACTTTTGAAAAATTAGACAACTCAAACTCTCGATTCATGTAGTCATGCTCAAATCCCTTAGAACACTGTGTCTCCACATATTGTGGCTTAGATATGTGTTTCCCGTGTTGGTTAGTTAACATTTTGAATTTTGTAAACTCAGTATTTAATCTTCACATTTCTAAGCCTCTTACAGGTAACAAAGGCGATACTAACCTTTTCTTTAGTCCTACATGGACGTCAAATTCCACTGAATATGAATGAAAATTGAAAATTACTTTGCAGATTTTACTCAGTTACAAAAATGTGTGTGTTATGGTTTAAATGATAAATCTGACCTCAAAAGTATGTACTCTGTCCATGGGAAAAAGAAAAAAAAACTTTAGGGGTACTGTTGTGCTGATAAGAATTCACTTGAAGGTTCTTATTTTTGGCACATGAAAGCTTAATATGTCTTTTTAAACGTCAGACCAGGCAGATTTTAGTGAGCACCCTGCATCGAACCATATGACACAATGTAATCATAGGTCTTAACTTTATGCATTGTTCCCCTGGTCTCGTGTGGGAAAACCACACCACCTCTGTGTTAATAACTGACTGCTGTACTGGTTAACTGCAGTGGGCTGAAAAAAATTGACAAACGTTGTTAAAAAGCTCCACGTGTGCAGCAGTAATTTCTTTCCTTTATGCATGTATTTATGCTCCTTAATAGACAGCATTCTAAATCAACATGATGTACACATAAAAAAGGGAAAACCCCTTTTCATGCATGTGATGGGATGTGGATGTGGCAGACACATACTGTAGTACTTGAAAATCAGGTCTAACCCAAGGCCAAACAGATGCATCCATGAAGCCCGAGTCATTTGGACTCTCAATGTCATCGTGTTCACTTACCTTCTTTGTGCTCAGTTTATGTTATCACCATCTTCAGTGCGTATTCATTGGGTACCGTGTAATCTGGAAGAGTAGTCTGCATCATCCCTGTATCATTTGAATAGATTTGAATATGGTAATCCTCACCTCAGCATACAGAGAATTGACAGGAGAAGCTCTGAAGGCAATGTGAGTCCAACGACAGCAGCGCTTTGATGTCGCTGTGCTGTAATGATAGTTATTCAAACAACATGATAATGGGAGGATAAGCAGACAAATGATATCATACACCAAACAGGTCCTGTATCGAGGAAAGAATGAGACAAACAGATGAAAAGGTAGAGAGAGCAAAAGAAAGATGTTTGAAATGCGTCTGTGCTTTATATCTTTTCTTACTGAGACAGTAGCTCCAGTGCACACATTTAGCCGCTGCAATCTTCAGGGCAGATGACATGTTCCATGTCGCTTTATTTATTAATTTTACACTGTGTCTCATTGCAGGAAACATGACTTCTCTCTTTAACCAGAGGCAATAGAAGGGAGAGAGCAGAGCAGAGAGCAGAGGGAGACAAACGACTCTATCATCTCTCTGTCTCTGTAGGTCATGCTTCTCCGGCTAGCTCCCGCTCATTCCTTTGTTTAAAGTTTGGAGCATGTGCCAGGCATGCCCTGGTAAAGCCTCTGTGTGGAGGATTCCATTATGTTTATATCTTGGCATGGTTGGATGGATTGGAGGAAACCATGATGTCTTTTTAAACAGTTAGAGTTCATTTGTTTAGAGTTGCCAGAGGGCTTTCATTTCACTGTATCATGTAAACATCTTCTGTGTTTGCTGAGTGCAAGAATTCTCTCTGTGATGTTTGTATAATATCGTGTTGGAAGTGCTCTGTATCAGTGAGTTGCGTATAGTCAGTCTTATTTTTCAAGACAGTGATGGAATCAAAGCAAGCTGGGAATAACCAGTTGTTATATAGATGGTTAAAATGTTCTGTTCATGCATGCACAACACTTTATGCAAGTCTTTCTGAGCTATTGATAGAACACACACACAGACACACACTGTTGATTCTACCCTTTCAACTGTGCTGTTTTGAACTCCTCTTTGTTTGTGTGGGAAGCTGCATTTACATAAGAGGCTCATGTCAGCCACCACAACGCTTCCCCTTTATCCCAATGAAAAACAAAAAGGACAAAAGCCATTGTCTTGTTAAGTAATGATTTTTGGATGTCTCCAAACTGGTTTGTGCCATTCTGGATGTGGTTAGGGTCTTGTGGTGAAGTTGGTATTAGAAGATATATGGGGTTTGTGGACGTGTAATGGAATGCGAGACGATGTGACAGTGTAAAGGAAAAAAAAATAGTCTGACCAATAGCAGACTTTTAAATGGCATGTAAAAATACCATAATGGTATGAATTCAAGCTTTGAAAAATATGGCTATCGCACCCAGATAATTGGAATCCCTCTATGTGCACACTTAAGTAAACTCAAAGGAGATTAGGTCCTCTGCAACGTTCCAAAAGGCCTATCTTTTCTATTTTAAAAACGAATGCAATCAAATTCCCAATAAAAGTGCTATTTTTCGCATATATATGTATATATATATATATATATGTATATATATGTATATCAAATGTGTGAGAAAATTCAAATCAGCCCATTAAGATTCTTCCCATCTTGTTTAACATCTTTCCAGACAGTGACCGTATTCTAATAATGTCCAGATTTTATAACTGCAATCTAATTTGACAAAAAAAATCATTTGAGTGACTTAAAGACAACATCTGTGCATTTAAGTCAGTTATAATTGGGCCAACATCTTAATTCTATGTCCTAGCATGTAAATGAGACAAGGACAATGGTCTAGTTAAAGGGCCAAGTCGAGCTCTAATCATCAAATGTGCACAGTTGTAGTGCTAATGTTATCGTTCATGCAAATTGGGAGCATGAATATGTAGTTTGTGGCTATATTATGTGAGTGTCTGAGAGGGTTGATACGAGGTAGCACAGCCTCTGACGTTGACCTGGATAGCATCAGACTATATAACCAAAACATTATTTAAATTTTCGAATTACAGCGAACTATGAGACAGAGAGGCTTTCTTGTTCAGTTGTCCTTTCATGTTAAGGCATTTGTCTTCTCAAAAGCAGATAGAAGGCAGGAAATAAAGGTCTGGATTTGAATGTAACTTAATATCCTCATAAAATTTGTCTTACTGAATAAGAAGAAGGTCCATGCCTCACTGTCGGGTTACATGGGTTTGGTATTCAGAATATGTGTACGTAATTGTGTTCCAGGACAAGTCATTTTTCTTTGTGTTGTACAGAACATCTCGTGTTGTCTTGGGGCTTCAGGGTAACACCAGCTGTAGTTCCATCGGTCATGCACCACTGAAGCAAATAGTTGCTGTTCTTTGTGACTTGCTTCCCGAGCATACTGCTCTCCTCTCTGTTCTGTCTCCCGTGGAGCCTCGTGCTGTGTGATGATATGAAATGATAGATAGGTGAATGTACAGCCATTGGAGGTAGAGATGATGGATCAGTGCAAGGGTTAAGAGGTCACAAGAAAATCACAAGACGATCCTGTTTTGTCTGTCTGAGTGGTATAAAATATGAATGTTTTATGCTGCGTAGTTCAAGTGATGATTAGATTTTAATCCTCAGAAATCCAAAGCTCGAATATTTGCATACACTTTAAAAAGTGTCAACACATTTCAATACCATAATGTTTCTAAAATTAAATTCTACTTCAGAATAATTCTGAAGCGTATAGCATATGCACTCATAAGTCCAATAGTTGTGTTATCTTCATGCTTCCCATGCCTATTAACAAACTCCGGCCAGACATGAGCAGAACCAATCAGCTTTAATGTGCCTCTTTGGCTGTTCTGATTATTTTAACCCTGTGTTATCTAATGCTTATCCCATGCCTAAATGCTTTTTGTTCTTTCTTTATTTTTCCTCTGTTTTGACTGTCAGCAAGCAATGGAGGACCTGCTGGAGGATGAAGATGAGGATTTTGACAAAGATGACAAGGTAATTATGTCTCGCATCTCGTACCCAGACACACACGTACAAACACACACTTTGCCTCAGGAGGGGTTGACACTGCTTCACAGACCGGAAACACAAACAGACTAACAAAATGACTCCATCGCCCCCTCCCATCTCCTACTCTGTTCAGTTATTCGCACTGCCTGGGGCACAAACACATGTTCACAGATTGTACAACCTTTTAACCTTTTTAAAAGTTTGCTCTGTAGGTGTGTACATGGCACATTCCACACCTCTCCACCTTGTAGTTTTTGTTTTGGTCTTTTTATGCAGGTGCCCTAATAAGATACTTGTTTTTATCTGCTGCTATGTTGAATTTGCATTACTGACACTCACGCCGTCACACCTCACTTCATGGGAACATACACCTATATAAAGTGCTTAGTTAGCTATTTAGGTCCATTCACTGCTCCTTTATGTCCCAGTAAAACAGCATCTGGGCTTGTCCAGACACTATCAGGTAACAACAGGTGGCTACTTTACTGCCTCTGCTCATTTACACTGCAGAAACAGCTACTGAAACAAATGCCACTGGACTGGGTACAGAATGCTGTCAGTGCTGCACATGGGAGTGATAACTGAAATGATCCAGCTCTTTAAGAACCACAAGACACCACAGTCTTTTTGGGGTTCATTTTTAAAATACAGCAGCTTTCATTTGGACCCCTGCAGTATGATGAATTTCAAATCATCGTGGCTTTGGTTAAGGTGAGGTCTAAATCTTTCATGGTGGAAACCTTGAATAGATCAAGCACTGAAATTACCCGAGCTCAATACAATAGCAAATTACAGGTTAGAAGACTGGGATGTAATGATTCTTATGCCGGGGTTTTTAAAAAATTAGGGAGATTGCTACATTTATGCATTTAGCATATGCTTTTACCCAAAGCAACTTACAAAAAGGATAACAGTTGCCCCACCACTAATAATTCTATAAGTGGGTGCCTGCAGAACGTTAGAAAATAAATGATTGTTCAGATGGTGAAATAGTCACATTATGAGTAAGTCAAGCAATCAATCTGCCTGGCAGCCAGTTTGGTGATGAGCACGCAGAGATATGTGAACATTACAGCCGCTCCCACAGTGATGCAGAAGCAAAGTTTCATGACTGTGAAGTTCCAAGGCTGCAGTGTGTGAGGGATGGGGGGCACTGACTGAAGATATGCACCAGACAACCTTGAACCTTTTTTTTTTAGCCCTTCTTTACATCTGTTCTCCTCCATTGCTTTCCTACCTCCTCTCAAGGGAAAAAAAATACAGGCATTTGAAAAGCTGCAGATTATATGAAATACATTTTTCACTTTCATATTGAAATGAGTTGCAGAGGCAGCGTGTGTGGCCTCAGTCAGATTTGGTACCAAACTGATTATTCCAAATAAGAAGGCCTTTCTCTCTGTTCACACAGTGCTGGGATGCAGGATAGCACAGCTGCCACAAAGGCTACAATTTACCAACTTTCACTTTATACATTTTGATCTATTGCTCCCCTCAACTCTTAGCATTTCATTTAAGCTGCAGGGAGGTTGAAAGGGGAGCATTTAGTTTTTTTCTTCGCCTACATCTCCCTCCCTTCCTACTCTCCTTCAACCCTTCCTTCAGTCGTTCCCTTCCCTGCCCTTTCTTTCTCTCTTTCTGACAAATACTCACTTTTCTGACTGCTCTTCCTCCAACCTGTTAAAGTGCAGAACAAATGGTGTTTCAAAGCAGGGCAAATTTGTTTTTTACACTGGAAAAGAGGGCTTTTCCACAGACTCTGAGCAACTGCTTTAGATAGTATGAGTAAGTATGAGGGACGGGTCAAAAGAGGCCTCTTTTATGGCACAGGCCTATAGGGGAGAGTGGTAAGAGGAGGGAGAGAATGAGAGAGTGGAGAGGGGGGAAAAGATTAATAAATGTGCCAAGGCCTCATTTTAATTGAACTTGAAGCATATGTTGCAAGTATGCACAATCTGTCCCAGATGTTTACTTCGGCCATGTGCGTAGCTCTTCCAGCGAACCACAAGGCAGCTATTTGCTGGATAACCTTTGCTCCAGAGGCTAAATGGGGTATTACATGGCCAAAAAGTAGAGCACCTGTTTTTCATTGCAGAGAGGACCCCTTGCAGGCTCCTTGCCTTGGTTTACCACATGTGTTTTGACTTAAGAGATTGTTGGGCCGACGTGAAAAGTGTCTTTCTCGTGAGCAAGCACTGATATTAGTCACTTAATCTCAATGAAAGACCAGTATACAGACTAATTGATGGGGACAGCTGAGTTGTTAAAGCCAAACGACCAGGCACATAAAGGGTGAAAGAATGGTAGACATGGACTTGTTTTCATCCTCTCCTCTCCTCCCTAACTTCCTTCTTTATGTTTGTGTGTGCAGCTTTAATATTGATTTATTTTCATTATCTACAAACTAATTATTCCAATGTTGATGCCAAGTTCCAGATTCCACTTTCCCTTTTCTAACTGCATTTGCTTTATTAGGCCCCATAAAGTGGGCCTTGCCCATCACAGTGCACCACATGGTTTCCCTTGCAATTCTTTTCTCTGTGCGGATTTTTTCATTGAATCAATTAAACCCATATCTACCCTTGAAGGACCTGTGTACGTAATTTTTGGCAAAGGGTGATGGCAAAGTAATTGCAACTAACATGTAATATATATGTAAGAATGAATTTAGTATTCCCTATTTTAAGCAATTGCAAAAACTTACCTGCTTTTAGTTTTTTATGCTACCTATAAAAAAAACTGAACCAAGCTCAGTTGAAAAAAAATAAATCTAATATAATCTTAAATAGTTATGAAATACTTAATGGATGAAAATAAGCAAAACACTAAGATTTACTTATATAGTATTTGGCATGTGAATGACAAGTAACAGTTTATACTTATTGGAACAGAAAATATACATGTATTTTTCTTTCAAACAGGGCTGTCATATATTCAGATACCCCAGAAGCACCACCATTGCTTTGATTTTTTAATTTGCTTTAACCCTAGAGGTTTTATGATAAGAAATGTGATATATTCTTAAGTTTAGATGTTAAAGCAGGTTGAAAATGGGAAACAGAGGTGGTTATCACAACGTCATACTTGTCACTCACAAGTTTTAGATTAGGAAATGTCAGTGACTTTCCCGCTTTACTGATCCATCACATTTAGTTCAAAGCGATTCCACTTTTGTTATTTTAAATATTTAGGTCTTAATTAAGAAAAATGTGCCCTGTTTAATCATCTTGAAATTTTGCACGAGACTATCGCGCTGAGGGAGGTAGGAAGAACATGCTTCTCATACTTATGGCCGGCTAGCTGCAGGGGTTTCGGTGTGTAATCTAGCCCATGATGCCTCCTTCCACCTGTGGGCTCACTGTCCAGAGCCGGCAATACACAATCACCTTTAGGCTGCCCGTGTGTGTGTTTGTGTGCGTAAATGTCTGGGTCTATTTTGTGTGAGTGTTTCACACGCACGTGTATGTGTAACTCAGCTGTCTCCCAGAGGGGGGCTTACTGGAAAAATAGGGAGAGAGAGAGAGTGAAAGAGACAGAGAGAGAGCAAAGGAGTGAGGAGATTACCCTCACACGGTTGACTGGTCACTGAAGCGCTTGTGCTCTGCTCAGCTAGGCTCCACTAGCCTCAGGAGGACCTGACACAGATAAGATACACAGTGCAATCATGTCCTGCTCAGGGGCTTACTGCTTGGTGTGTCCCCCCACCCCCAACACTACCCCAAGTGTGTCTATCTATCAATATCTTACTCTTACGCACGGGCCCACAAAAAAATCTTTTCCCTTTTTCATGCTTTACAAATCTTACCCTCACAGTATAAGTCATTATTCTTGAATTTTACGTTGCTGGCTTGAGGTGTTCTTTTATTCAACCTAGTTGTTGAAGGTTGCTTCCTTTAAGTTTGAAAAGTCTCCTGTTGGTTACTTATCCATTACTATAGAATAAGTGTCTAATAAATTTAGCAGAAAAGAAACATCAGCTATACTTTAACACCGTGATGGTGAAAATTGTAATAATAACTAAAATAATTTGTTTAAACAATTATCATAATTGTTGTTTCAACAATTTTGATAATAATATCCAAACACAATACTGCAGAGGTGTGTATTTAACAGTGGTTCTCTTTTAAATGAAAACTATCAGCATGCACACACTGATCTTACAGGCTTGGTGTTTCTGTTATTCTCTCAAGTCTGCTTGGTCTCAGTCCGTTTTACGTTTCTTTCCTGTTAAGGATGCTCTATATTGCATTTAAAAACAACTAAGTCACACTTTTTTGGCATGGCATGAATATGGTTAAAGGCAGTGCACGTTTTTAGAGTCGTCACCAGATATTATGGGAAGGGGCAATGTAGCACCCGTTCCTCAGCGCTCTTCTCTTAGTCCAGTTATGGAGATGCACTGATCGCTCTGATTGCATGGCGCAATGTATTTGGAGTAAAGACAGCATTTGAAAATATATTAAAAAAGCATGATTGATCTGTTGTTGTGAGGAGGCTATTGTGCTTGTGATGTGGTGGGATTGTCCTTAGGTATCGGGGGCTTTCAGCTGCCGAGAAGAGAGAAGTTTCAAAGCCAGTCTTCTTTTCTTCATGGTTCCTGTGACGGAATAACGGTGTCGTCCTGTGGAAAATGCTTTTGATTGTTCTGCTTAATTTTTCTCCCCATTTCCTTTTCCTCTGTTGAGCAGAAATGTTGCATTTTAATCACGTTCAGCTATTAGAAGTAAGAATTAAGACAAAAAAGGAGTGTGAAAGAAGCATAGAGGGGTATTCTTTCTCATGTAAAATATTCTGCATCGTTTCTTTGTTTTTCCTTCTTAACACACACATAGGTAGTAATCTCTCGATACCACTATTCCCCCCAGATTTATCTCTTGCTTAATGTATTTGTGCTCAATCATATATTTTTCACTCTGCATATTAACCCCTTTCTCATCACTTTTAATTTGCCTCTGGTCTTTACTATTTTTTGCTTTTTGCACAGACTGTGATTTGATGCTTTAAAGGGGGTTTAAGCTTTTATTCACTTTTTTCACTCACGTAATGGAGATTAAAAGGAGTAAAGGAGCATTTATGTTCCTTAGGTTGAGGCTTTTTAAAGTAATATGTACTCAAACAATAACTAGCCTCAGATATTCTGAATATCTGTGAAATGTTTTGCTTTAAATATCATTATTAAGTTTAAAGGTAAGTATTTAAAAAACCTTCTTTGTAAAAGTGAAAGTTGTTTCCAGATTTAAGCTTATGTTGTCTACTTCTTCAGTGGGTTCAGTGAAAAAAAAACAGACAAGTGTTAGACCCCACATAGACATTGTATAACCCTCTCACTTTAATTTCTGTGGCTGGTAAAGAGAAAATCTCACTGTAATCTATCCAAAAGGACCGTAAACCAGGCCCATGGGAGGACAGTCGAGATAAAAACCATATCCTCGAGGATATGTTGGCTTCCTGGCACTTTGAGTGGATACGAGCGATGGTGGTAAGTGGACCTGTGTGGTGCTCTGGCACAACCTCCTACTGGTGTGTGTCGCTGTCTACTGGTTTGCTGTGTAGGTCATCGTCTGTCCACCGGCCTGTCTACCGGCGTCCTGTCAGGGTTTGTTATCAGTAACTGTCCCTTGTCCACGTCTTAATTTATATCCACGCACTGCACGTTTGGTTTCCAATCCAAACCCACTGCAAAGACTAAGCCTGTGCCTGCTCTTTAAGGTGATGGGAATCTTAAGTGAGTTCCAGCATGGAAGCCTGCTTTTGTGTGACGTCCCTGTAGCACTGTAGAACTGTTACTCTGCAAAGTGACAGCTGTATGCCAAGGTGTGATGGTGTGTTTACCATAATTGAGGTATTTTGGCTGTTTGGTAATAAAGTGGGACATGGGGAGTCTTCATTTGTTAAAGTGATAGGATTAGATCTCCCAAAAGTGTTATTAGGCATTTCTCTTGCATCACAACACAATGCTAAAATGGCTAATTGCATTTAACTCACAAAGAACGATTGCTGTTGTGTACTATAAACCAAAGAAACACAATGATTTTGAAGAAATGTTCACTTTTCTTATAATGTTGTGTGTGTCTGGTGGTTGGTTGGGTGACTCTAATATGGTTTTGGGGCTTTTTTCTTTAAAGTTGTTTCAGGAGCGGCAAAACTATCTCACAGTGTTTGAGAAAACTACCGTGCTCATTATACCTAATGCCACAATAGCTAGTCCCCAAAGTTTTATGTCACTTACACACAAGTGACAGATCTAAGTGAATTTTTCAATTGATGAACTATGCATCAAAAGAGGACTCCGTGCTTTTCTTTCACGGTAGGTGAGGAGTTTGTGCATGTTCTCATCCACCCAAAGTAACTCTCTTTGAGACTCTCACTGAACAGAGAGTTGAGGATTGTGTGCTCTCAGCCCTCTCGGTCTCTCATTGGACAGAATGTGGAGCACAACACTTGACAGTAGTGTCATCTGAATTTGAAAGTCAGACATGTAAGAAGGCAGCCGCCACCTTTTCTTTTAACAAGAGTCATAAATCTCTAATGAGCACAGAGAGGATGCATATTTTATTTACTTTTTGAAGACACAATCCCCTCAATTCTTAGCGGTGCAGTCTTATTCTATTGTTTTTTTCCCTTCTAAAACAAATTTTAATACGGTGGATTTTACATCCGTCTTGCACATGCCTGTGCGTCTCCGAACATACATGCACAAATAAAGAAACGCCAGAGACTGAGGTGATGAATCAGATGTAGTTTACGTCCAACAGAAGTAACACGTGATTCCCTTCATTAAATATGTTTAGTTTAATGAAAAATATTAATGTTGTTCAATTATTGGAGCTTGGAGCTTTTTTTTAAAAGATCCTAGATTATGTTTAAATTCCAGACATAGAGACATCAACAGCAGACAGACTGACAGACAGGAGGAGATGGGCTGAAGCAAACTAAAACCAGGTCAACAGCGGACAAGAGTAATGTTGTCCCATTCATCACACCCTGCCAAGCATGATCCCGGGAAGGACAGGGGAAGGATAGCGCGGGAGCAGGGGAACAGAGGTGAGGCTGGGTGGGTGGGGGTCGGGCGGTGTGCAGCAGGAGGTGTGGAAGGGGTGATCAAGAGCAGAAGTTGTATTGTGGTGGTCATTTATGTGTGTGGCTCTCGGTGTCTGTGTGTTTGTCTGTGTGTGTGTGTGTGTGTGTGTGTGTGTGTGCCTGACCTTGAGTCTGATAGAGTAGCTGGCATGGTGGAGGTGATGAGAGGCCCCAGAGGGAGATGGGTAAAGATGATCAGTGGCGAGCAACCTCCTGCCAACCAGACACATTTAAAGCGCACACAAATGTGCACTCATAACACAGAAAACTTTTCTCTTTAGGATACAAAGCAGAGGTCAAGCCAAAAACAACTCTCTACTTTCATCAGCTCTTCTTCTAATCAGTCTTTCTTTTTGTCCTTCTATTCCTCTCTTTTAAATATGTGTATATTTATCCTCCCAGAGGGATGAGGAGAGGCTAATGTACCGGGGAGCATTGTGTGTGCCTGGTCCATCTTCATCTGACAGACTTAAGTGGAATTTGACTTTGGTTATGTGGTAGTCACCTTTACGGCATATCCCCATATTCTCCAACATGAACACATCATATAAACACAGAAATGAGCAAACACTAATCTCAAAGTCATCTACTGTGGTCTGCAGAGGGGAGTGGCTTCTGAGTGTGGCCTTTCTGTGTGTGAGCTGCTCGGCCGGAGTCAACAAGATATACGGTGCATCTCAAAACCCTAGTTAAACATATATTTATGTGTTTTCGCAGAAAGAGAGAGAAATGGATGTATTGGATGAATTATTTATTTTAAAAAAAATGCATGAACATCTGCCTCTTTCATGTCACCCTGACGAGGTTCCAGATTGCATAGTTTTATTGCTGGCCATGTTGCTTACTTGAACACATTTCCTCATTGAAGAGAGAGAGAGAGGTGCTCTTCTAGGTCAGATCTCAAAGTGCAAACGTTTAATATACCCGTATATATGTGTATATACATTCAGTGACTGAGCAGGCTTGATTTTTTCTAATGAAAAAAGCTGTGACAACGAAACCTGGGCACCATCCACTGATTTGTGTACTACTATTGCAGCAAGACCACTTTGTAAGTGTATATACATCTTTTTCCATAAACAAGTTTTCAGGGAGAGACAACAACATGACTGGTTTTAGAAAATTACTTAGTGCTAATAATATTTGCCCTTTGATGTTGTGAGAACTCAACAATTCAAATTCTTGCACAGATTTCAGTATCATCAACCCTACAGCCTTCCACAGATTTCCAATGGTTTCTTTCTCTTCTCTCGGGATGGAAACGGTAGGGATACCGACGCTCTGCAGTTACAAAATCAACAAAAGCACTTTCAGATGCCCTCTGGGAGCCACATATTAGCATGCTGTCATGTTTTATATGACATTTCAATTTTTACACGAGCCTCTAGAGTGAAAGAGGCAAAACAAAGAAAAACAGGTGCAATTTTAGCACGGCAGCAACGAGCAGCAGTCACTTGTGGTTCAGACTCATTTCCTGGTGTGATAGGATGTATGCGGCTGCATTATAACTGTTAGGTTTATCATTTTTTATGGCATAACCCAGCAGGGAGAGCAGTCTGAGCGGAGGTTAAAATAGTCTCAAATGGCTTTATCGTTTCCGCCCACTGGATCTAGGACAGATATTTGAGTCCATAGTAATAGGCTAAGTCCTCTGTGACCTCTCTCTTGTTTAGCTCTAGGCCTTGGGTCAGTGAAGAACAAACTGTCTTTGCAAAGTTTACAACTGTTCACTTTACACTTCTGTACATATTTATACTTTGCCGTGATAGTATCTTTCTAAAAGAAGCAGAGTAGCCATGTACACAGACTCACTGCATATCTTTCTTTGTTTAATATTTTAAAAAGCATTTCAAGAAGTTTACCACATTTGTTTGCCACAATTTACCAGCAAGTGCAATGTGGTTAGCCTGACTTGGCTGTTTCTTTGTACTTGTGTATGTGAGAGTGTGTGTGTCCCTTGGCTTTCTTCCTCAACGCGTGCAAACAACTCACATCACTTTAACGAGCCTTCCCGCCGCTAAACTGATGAGTGCTTGGCAGGGATTTCATATTACACTCAACACATCTAAACAATGATGCAAACTTTCGACATAACCACAAAAGATTTATTTACTGACCTTAAATGGCATACATGCAATTAAAACATGCAATTCTCCCCCAACAAAGGGCACCGACTCCCTAACTATAAATGCTCCCAAACTGATGAGAGTTAATTGATGTCAAAGAGATTCCTCTGCAAACAAAAACATTTCATTCACAGGACAAACTTTCCTAATGCAGTTTTCATTGAACTGTTTACTTCACCCTAGGCTCACATCAGAGTCAGAGTTGTTATCTTTCACCATGAAGAATATTACAATATGATACATATGTTTTCTAAAGCATGGACACATCCCAGCGGAAATATTGTTGTAAGAGAAGTTTATAAATCATCAAGATTCCTGTGCAGGTACAATAAGGAGACCTTATGGAGATTTAGTTTAGATGCCTGAACACAAATCAGTGAGACAGAATTCATGGTCAAAGGTGTGTGTGTGTGCTCTTTGTTTACAGATATTCTGCACCATTATTTGGATTTCCATGCAAACAGGACTTTTGCTCCGGTTAAAAAAAACAACCTGACACATCAATACAGACTCAGACATGCCTTAGAGTAAACGAAATCTGCGTTGATAATTGTTCCATCATTAGACCGCATTGTTTAGACAAGCTGTTTAAATGGTACTGATTTGTACTGTAACATGTCAGCATAACATTAAATGCAGATGAGCTGACAGTTACAGTCTATCAAAAATCATGATCCATTAGGCAGGCTTATTATTCTGTCTGCCATGCAGGATCATCCATCAGAGCACTGCTGTCGAAGTGAGGAGATTTGCTGCATACTTCCATCTACAATGAAGTCTAAGCGAGGAGCCGTTAGTCTTGCCTTCAGGTCTCCAAACAAAGCCACTGTCTGGACAGATATGAACAGATGGAAAATGCAGTCCCTTGGTCTCCTGTAAGCACCTCCTTTCTCTTCCGCTAATCAAGAAGGGACAAGCACATTTGAAATATGTGATAGTGGCTGATGCATTTGCACACACTCACGGATCACAGAAAGCATAAACATTTAGTTTAACTTATGAAAGGAAAGGATCCACATTGTGTGAGAGTTCACTTTCCCTAATACTATACTTCCAAATTTTGTGAAATAATAAATATAAAACTAAGCCTTTATTATCTATACCATTATGTAAAGATGTGTTGTCTCTCTTTGTTCCTACTTGGATACATTCTTTTTCAATGATTAATGACACTACAGTAAAAAGTTACTCAGTAGAAAAAGAAGCCATGTTTAGCAGTCAAGCGCTCTTGTCATCTGATGTATGCTGGGATGTAGCATTGTTTGTGGAGTCAAACAGCCAGACCAGGTGTTCAGATCAACCTTATCTAATAGCTGTGGGGTGAGTGTGTTTGTGTGCATATTAGGTTCCAGTGTAAGAACAGGTTGCCTGACTCCATATGTGCGCAGTGTGCAGGGAAGCTGGGAAAACAAGGTTCTCCGTGGCCCTCAGTGTTATTGCTACCTCCTGCTTCCCCAAGCCGTGTTTGAAGACAGGAAATAGGAGTCAGACCGCAGTCCGAAGGGCATGTGGCAATGGTTTATACTCTGGTGGCCTCTGACCTATCTTCTCCACCCCCACCCACTCTCTCACACCACTCCCATGGCCCTCAAACATTCTCCCCTGGGTATAGGCTTGAAAATAAAAATGTCCTGACCTGGCCCAGTCCAGCTCGCTGAGCCCAGCACAATAGACACTGTGCTCTGAGATTTGTTTGAGCCTGCAATGAAAAACAGATGGATTCAGGGGAAAGGACAGAGAGAAGCATGGAGTGCAGGAGAAGGAAAGAAAGGGAGTCTTGTAAAATATTTGCAAAGAAAAATAACCCAAAGAGGCTGTCTAATTATATCTATTTGTCTTGTGTGGTTTTGCTGGGGAGGCTATGTGGTCTCCCTGACTGTTCCATGGTTCATTTTTCACATTATCTGATCCTGGATGAAGAGCGAAAAAAGAAGGTGGGTTTGGGGCAGTTTGGGTCTCTCTGGGAGGGTTGCGGTGAGGTGGCTGGCCTCAAAGAGTGAAATGTGGTGAAGGCCTCAGAGGTCCCGAAGGTTTCAGGTTTTTCACTAGTTCACTGTCTTCTGTTAGTATTGTGTCAATATTTACTCAGAGCCTTCCCTCTCTAATAATCCATCGGTCTTCATCAGAGATACAAACAGTTTTATACAAACTCTTATACCAACAACAGAGGAATTACAGTGTGTGTTTTTATTTTATGGGGTATTACTTAGTAATACCCTTAGATGACAGGTTCATCAGACAGATGTAGTTACATTTGCTGCAATTGTACGTTGCAAATTCTACCTCATCTGAAAGTTTAAATTTCAACCACAAGTGAATTGTCTCAGCACTATTTTTTTACAGCTGTTGGGGCACAAAATGATAAAGTGCTGGCTCTTTTTTATTTTAAAAAAAAATCTTGCTCTTTCTTTTTTTGAACTGAAAGTCCCAATTTTGTCACTTCCCAATCCTGAAGCCCCCTTCTGTACAAGTCCTTTGGTTTCCCAAGCATGCTCACCAAGCGCAACTAGCAACTGTCTGTGTGTTGAAGTCCTCACGCAGCCAACGGCTTTCGATCACCTCATTGTGTTCAGAACTGTCCTGTCCCTTCCTGCCTCTCATTATCAGGCAGCTCGTTGACTGTTGCATGACTTTTTAAATCCTTCACTTTGTTTGCGAGCGAGCGAGCGTGGTTTATCGACTTTAAATGGCCTGCCTAGTTTGTGGTTTCTCTCGCATCCTCCAGTAACATTCAAAGTTCACAGCCATCAAAAGTTGAACAGGAGGAGCTGTTCACGGTGCTTGACAGCATTAATAAGGATGATAATAATGTCACGGATGGTGACATCATCACAGTGTGCCAGCCGACAGAACAAAAGAGGGCTCTGCCCGGCCGTTCCTGGCAGCCTTGGCAGCAGCAGAAAGAGAGCGGGAGAGCTCAAAGATTGATGTATCCATTTGGCTCTCAGTTTAATTCTGCCTCTCTGTTCACATATTCAAATTTCCCTGTGTAGGCATTTGTAAGAAGAAAAACATTTTGATTTGTTCTGCCAACTTTATATCTTCATTACTGCCTGGAATAAAAGCGCTCCGCACTTTGTGCAGGATATCCGGTGATTTGGCTCCCCACTCCAAATCTTTGACGCTATTTAAAACGTATTGTTCTCACGAGTTGCCCGTGCCCAGCCTCTGTCTTCTCTCTTCTCTTCCTTTCTCCCCCTGTCTTTTTTCTGACTGTCTCCATCTCCTCCTCCCTCATCCTTGCTTTTCTTCCTCCCTTGCCTACATCTCTATCTGTCCTTTTGCAGGACTCAGAGAGAAAGGGCTTCATGAACAAGCTTTATGCCATTCAGGACGTGTGCATCAGCGTACAGAATGCACTGGATGAAGTGGCCTCCTATGGCGAAAGGATAAAGAAGTGAGTCGTAAGCCTGCTCCTCGGCAACCGGCCCGCTCCGCTCTGCTCCCCTCCACATGTCCCAGTGTCTTTTCTACATTGCCAGGCTGCCTCATCTTGCCAGCTCTAACTGAGCGTTTACCCAGTGCAGCTTTTAGACAATGCTACCAGTGTGACACTCAACCCTCAGACAAACACACAAAGGCTGTTTGTCTTTACGGCCATAACATCTCACTTAGCCTCACATAACCTTTTAAGTGAATCATGCCAACCCAATTTTGTATATGTATCAGAAACATTGCTATTTACTGTGCACCCTTTGCATCCACTGACTTGTATATACTTACTGTTGATAATTAGATCAACCGAGCGAAGGTCCAGTATTTTACTTTTTACATGGTTGAGCAGATGTTGTGTAAAGTTTTAAATTTTTCATGGATTAGATAGTCTGAACAGGCTTTAAACATGGTCTTTTTTCACTCATGTATGCTGAGCTGTAAAAATGTAAGTGAATTTAGCTTTTGCTGGCTTTTTTTTCACCACGTGCAAGTGGCCTAGGCTTTTTCCTATCTCCAATAATTTTAATCATCCCTTCTTTTCTTCCTTTGCAGCACATTTAACTGGACTGTGCCTTTCTTAAGCTGGCTGGCGATAGTGGCCCTCGGAGTTTCCACCACCATCATCTATTTCATCCCTCTTAGATTCATTGTGTTGGCCTGGGGTGAGCTATTATGGTGTAAAAAAAATAATGATGTATTGTTAAAGTTAATTTGGAAGAACAATTCAGAACCACACAAGGTTTTTCAGTATGTTGGACTTATAGCAATTGTCAATAACTACTTTTACAACTCGTCCATCCCTTCCCCTACTGTTTTTCTCACCACAGGGGTAAATAAATTCACCAAGAAGCTGCGAGACCCTTACACCATCGATAACAACGAGCTGCTGGATTTTCTTTCCAGAGTGCCCTCAGATGTACAAGTGGTGAGCAAACTCCACAATTTGACATCATATCTGTTCCGGTGAACTTGGGCTCTATTCTTTCCCTTTTGTCCTCTCAGCTTTTTGCACTTCGCTGTCAAACTTTCTTGTCGGGTGAATGGAGTATTCTTTGTTTTCCCATTCAGACATCTAATCTAATTATTCCATAGCTGTTTCTGTGTTTTCCTATTAATAGCTACCTTGACTAATTCAATTTCCTCTTACATGGCTGGAGCTGTGTTGTAAGATAACAAGGTTAAGTGAGTTTAGTACCCAGCATATAACTAGGTTGATTGACTCCATACATATACTCTCACACACAATTACAGCTAGGTGTTGTTTCCCAGCAATGCTAGTAATTAGACTAGAGTGTAAATCAACAGGTAACCAGCCCCTTGCGGTTTTTCCTCTACATTAACCGTGAGATCGGATTAACTTTGTGGCTGAGGACTGCAGATGCTTTTTTTGGGGGGGGATAACATGAACTGAAAGATTGTTTGTCAGCGCATGTGCATGTGTGTTAACTATAACATGCTGTGCTACTCAGGACAAAGTGCATTTTAAACAGCAATTAAGCAGCAGCTTGTGAAAATTGTGGTGTTATCCAGCACCAGTGGTGTCCACTGTGACCGTTGAGCCCCGCTGAGCTGAGGTCAATGTGCAGACACACACACAATCATGCAGATTTACACAGATGCAGTCACAGGCTGAACGACTCGGGGCCTCTGATACGACCAATCCCTGCCACATGAGTGCTGACACACTTCCTCTTTGATCGCTTTTTGCCCGCAACGTCTTTCATCTTTATAGGGTCATAATCCATGCTCTCTTACTCACCCCCTGCGCGCTCCCCATTTCAGTCCCTGCTACAGTTTTGTAGTTTACAGATGCCTGCTGCAGAAGCAGGCACAGGGCAAGCCAGGGATTTAAATGAGCCCAAGCTGTCCCCACCGGTGAAGTGCAGCCACCTTACACACCTGAGGCCTGGGGGTGAGTATTGTGTAAAGTGCCTAAGCCTGGCAGGTATGAGGCCTTTACAAGGGTCCTAATGAGGGCCTGCTGGCTAAGGAAGATGGAGGGAGACGGGCTCTGGTCTAGTGCCGGTGTTGCTGGAGTTTGAACTACTATTAAAAAAAAAATACAGTAAGTGCTACTGTATGTTTATTGCTGCAGCTGTTGAAATAGTAATTGCTGCCAGCTTTCACTGGAAACTATGTAAGCTTTCAGGGAAATTAGACCAGGAACAGCATGTTAAAATAGACAACTTGGCATGGAAATGAAGATGAATATATAATAGCTTGCTGGTTAAATCTCCAATCTCCCAAGTCTACATGTTGGAGAAGACTCGGGCAATTTACTGAAACCTGCGTTGATTCCCAATGTGTTCCTCTTTTGTTAGTCATTTAGGATGAGTGTGATAGCATGGAAATAAAACAAACAACAAGGAGGAAGTGTAACAAAATACAAGGTTGATTGATTGATTGTTGAAAATGGCTCAGCTAGGCATGATACTTGTGTTTGTATCAGTAAGAAACAAACATTTTTGTAATTATTTGCTCACGGAATCCAAAAGGTTAGTATTCTGGGAGACATGCTACTCTGCAATCAGCGACTAAAAACAGACCAGAACGTCCTGCTGTGCCTGTGGCAACGGTGGTGGGTTCACCTCATGCCCGCCCCAGCCTTGGTGGGTCAAAGACATCAGTCGGTATTGAACCCTTGAGGCTTTTGGATGTTGCAGAGAAGTGCTGGGGTCTAAATGGAGCATCCCTTCACAGGCGTGTTTCTATGGCACCCTCTGGCATAGGTACACAGGCGCACCATGCCTGACATCATAGATGACTAATGAAGCCTTGTTTGAGAGCCGCCGTGTGACCTCACACACGGGCACATTCAGACACACTCCCAGCGCTTGTGCATGCAAGGTATGTTGGAGGTGTTTCAGCGCAGTGTTCCACATCATTTAGAGGTGCTTCGGTGCAACCAGAACTGATGAAGTTCTAATGACTTTATATACAAAGGGCAGCCACTCTGGGCCAACATATGCAACTTTTCTACACCGCAGCAACTGTGGAATAACTTCTTGGCTTTCTTATGGTGTCTTTTATCTCTTTCTTTTTTTCCTCCCTTTGTATTCATCTTCCTGAATGTAGTGTGAAAGTATCTTTTAACCTTTAATTACTCTGAGTCCATTTTCTATGTAAAAGCATCATGCAATTTAGCAAAGAAAACCCTCCTATCACCGATTCGCCCATAAAGACTCTACCAAGCACCTTTTAAAAACTAAATATTGAGAGGTGCAATTCCTTTTACCACCTGAGCAGTTTGCTTAAATCATTATCTCCCCCTGAGAACAGCCATTTTAATGGCTGGCATGGTGTTTTGATGTGTCTATGCATGAAAGACTCACTGTCCCTCTCAGGGTAACATTTTACCAGCGTACGCTATCTTTACAATCTTTGTGAGAGAATCTTTCATTTCTTCATAAACAAGGCCAATCTCAACACCTTCACAGTGCGAAGTATTCCCCAACTTGCATTTTGGATGTGGCTGTGCACTAGTATGTTTTATGACACCATTAGGAATGTGAGCTGGGGAGTGCATAAGTAGGGCCAAGGCAATTAGCATGCCAAGTGGCCCCTTTATGATAGGTTTAAAGGCACTGGATCAAATCCCCGGTACCAAAATAAGCATGAATTCCAATTTAGGGCCTAATGAACAGCGGGGAGTCAGGTTAATATTTTTAGGCAACATTTATGTTCGCTATGAAACCTCAGTGGATATAGTGGGAGCAAAAGGCAGGACAGTTAAAGGTTGAAGCTTTGCCAGATGCCATCCGTCACATTTACTGAAGGTGTCTCTCCCCTTCGCCTCGCCCTTCCCTTCTTTGGAGACAAATTTAACAATATCACTGCAAATTGAATATTTGGTTCTTGTCGGCGCATCTAATGGGCAAAAAACTTTCTTTGTAAACTTTATTGTTTCTTTGTTTACGGGCTTGTGCCATCTTGGTGTGACATTTCTTTCAACCTAACAAAAGATTTGGGGGCTGAATCCTCCAATCTGCAGGTGTTTGACGGGCACACATTTGCATTTCTTGGAAACATTTAATAACCGTCATGCTCTATTAGGTGTCACTTGAGATGAAATCCACTGGGTTTTGTGTTCTCTGCAAAAAAAAAAAAGGCAGACGAGAAGAATAATGCATTATCATTAAAATGACGCTCCCATTTGCTTTTTTGAATTGTTTATTTATCTGCCACACTGTCTCCTCACTATCCCCCACCTTGTCTATCTGCCCACACGAGCTTCATCAAAAAACTGTCAAAAGGTTCAATGTGAGAGGGAGAAAGAGAATGAAAGATGGCGAGGGAGGGAGAGAGGAGCAGGTCCCGGGATGCTTTATGGGTAACACTGTTAAATGAAGCACGACGCCGCGTACACGGCACCCCTTCAGTAGAGCACACTTCAAAGCCTGTTTCTGCACTTGTACTGTCAACATTTGGGAGGGGAGAGGAGCGAAGGTAGAGCAGCCTTTGAGCAGCGTTGGGTCTTAAGACACCTCTTCTCCTGTCTGTGTTCCCTTTAAGCTCCCCACTTGTGCTCCAAATTGGTTATGCACATGCAGCATTACCTCACATTTTTACTTTTACCCATTTCTGATATCTTTTACTTCGCTAACGTCCCAATTTTTCTCCTCGCCTCCTCTGCCTCCTCCTCTGTTGTGACTTTAACTGGTTCTTGTTGTCTGCGTTGGTTTTGGTGCCTGCGCGTGTTTGCATGTGTGTCTTATTAAGCGAGGTGAGCTGGGAGCCAAGGGTGTAGCATCAGGCAGACCTGTCACCTGCAAGGTGGAATTGAACCTGTGACGCAGGAGCCCCGTTTCTCCTGGCTGGCACTTCTTCACAAAGGAAGCTCTTGTTTGAAATATATATATAAATATATACTTATTTTATTTTTTTCCCCCCTGCACCATTTCTTTTTGTTGATCCCCTTCACAACTCTTTATGAAAAACAAAACCTTACTTTCTACTGACAGGCAAACTTTTCTTTGTTTGTGTGTACTCACAAAGATATTTGTTTGGACAGGAATGTCAACTTGCAGAATTAGACTGCTACGTTTTTTTGCTGCAGTAGGCGTTTGGCCCTATAAGTGGGACCAAATGTATCAAATGATCCCGTACAATACCTGCCCTACTTGTTGATTTATGCTGGCTTGTTTAAAGCCACCCGCACAACGTGGAAATGAGTTTTATTAAAAGAAACATTTAAATCAAACAAATTTTTTGTGGCATTTTACTGTAAGTACACAACACGCATGTGCAGTGTTTCCTTCATTCACGAGTGAATTAATCGTTCAGTTGTCCGTTGATCGTTGTCAGTGTGGGCACTCTGCCAGCACTGTCATGGTCCCCACACACATATATGCACAGATGGGGCAACATAAACTCCTCTCTGTCCCCTGGGTTTTCGTTCCGTTGTTTGCTTTATTTGGCAGGGCTGTAAAAGGATCCCCACCCACATAAAAACAGTATCTGTCATCACCAGTGTCCACAGATCTTTTTCTGTCTCACCCAGTCTCTTCTTCACTCCCATTGTTTTTCTCCCGTTTCCTTTGTTGGTTTGTCCTGCTCTCTGCCCTTCCCCACTTGATTTCGATCTGCATGCCTGTTTCAACCTCTTCTTTGTCTTCTTTCCTATCAGTATTGTCTCTCTTTATTTCTCCACCTGGATTGCTTTAGACCATGTCTTACTGTCTGTTCATCTTTACTGTATCGAGCAAGATGTTGTGTTTGCACAGCTGTTCAGGAGGATGTTAGTATGCCTTATGAACTGGGAGGAGGATCCAGATTTGAATCAGGATAGTCTGGCTGCCTAGTGAGGCGTAGAGAGCAACACATGCTGTTCTAACCACCCTCTAAGCACCTTAATGGGACATAGGTGACCACCACTGTGAGGCACAGGAGGGACAAAACCCCACTGATTAGTTTATGTGATTTGTGGACCTTTATTGGTATTTAATTATTGGTATTTAATACATAACTACTTAGGTGCCGAGACTTTTTTTTCTGTGTGAAAAGGGAAGAGTGCCTATATGTTCCCATTCTTGGTGCCCATCTGTGCAGGCATGACACTTAAATTTTGTGCACAAACATGCACACGTACATTTACTGTTTGTTTCCTTTGCGTCTAGCATTTGAGGATTGCAGGCAGGGGACCCTTCACTGTAGCGACAGTGGGAACCAGGGGAAGATGGATGATAAAGGCTCGTTCCCAACCAGTGCTGAAATGCTGCTGTTCCCGTCCACAGTAGACAGAGTCACCATGAGACAGAACAGAGAAACCATATTGACGTCAGTTTGCTGTCTGTCTGAAGAATCAGAGAGAGTGTCAGTCAGTCCGACAGGCAGAGTAGCCTATAGTACATCAGCTCTGGAGAGATTCTTCAGATGATGCTGGCTCTTTGTTGCTGGGGCTGTTATGTCTATTTTTTTTTTCTATTAGTATTCTGATTCTGTGGCTAGTGCTTGTCAGCTTCTTGAATCTGTTGAGGCTAGCAACTGTATCTCTGTGTACATGTGAGTACAATTGAAAGTGAGAGTCTGCCAACGACAGCCTTTGTTTTTTTTTATGCTGCTCAGCCACTGAGGTGCCGTTGTGCTTTTGTGTCCATTTACTTACACATAGGAACAATGTCTTTCTAAGATCCGCTCAACACCTCTTCCAAGACTCATGCTTAGTGGAAATTAGTGAGTGTTTTCATATGATGCCAGATATATAAAATTATAAGCCAACACAATATAATAAAACATTTTTTCATTCACTTTACTTGTGAAAATAAATATAGAAAAGTAGTTAGAAGACTAGGGCGTGTATTGGTTAGCACCATCACCTCACAGCAAGAGGGTTCTGGGTTCGAGACCCTGGGGGAATCAGGACCTTTCTTTGTGGAGTTTGCATGTTCTCCTTGTGTCTTTGTTCATGGTTCTTCTGGTTCCTGTTACTGAGATGTTCTGTAAACTTTGTGTAATTTTACAGTCCTAAACCTTCAGTACTGAGTACTGAGTATTAACATGCAGTCATTTCTAACCCAGGATCTTGGAATTCACTGATAAAAATCTAGATTTGTATAAATATATGGTCTTCTTTCCCAGGTCTGCACTGAACTGTTTCTGTTGAAATGAAAAAAACGTTTTAGTGCTTTAAGAGGTCAGAGGACAGCTGCTGTTATTATGATAACTAAAAGGGGTTTTGGAAACTCCTAAACCACAAAATGAGTCAGTATATATCTATTTTTCAGCTTATGCCTACGGATTTGACCTTCTCTTTGTTAAATATTCCGTTTGTGTTATACAATTAGTCATCCAAATAAAAAAATAGATAAATAAAAAAACAACAACAACAAAGTAAAACCCCCAGACTAATAATGATTTGATGTAAACTTTTGCGCAAAAAGTCTTGGTCGAGGACCGGAAAGCCTGTTTGGAAGCAGAAGCCTCCCCAGGCAGAGGTCATGTGCAGTGTCAGCCTCACTGCTCACCGTCTAATAGCAGCTCCGACAAGCCTGTTTGCAAGAGAATGATGTAGCAGAGTACATTGCCATCTTATTTTGATTTGTATCATGACTGAGGCTAATACTGTGAACATTTCCAGTGTGCATGCATGCAAACCTCCTATACCAAGAAATAATTCAACAGTATGCAAATGAAAGAATGAGTGATTGTGCCTCTAATTCAATGCTTTGTTGTGTAATCTCCTGATGTATGGGCAGTTTGTTTCAGGCTACATGTTATCAGTAATACAGTGATACTTTAGGAACTAGAGCTTTTCCGAATGCTGAAAGGTTTACGATGCATTTTTGTTTAATTCTGCTGCCTGTCTCCCTCGTTTTTACTCTGCCCTTTCTCTTCTTCCCATCTTGCTGTGTTGAAATGACTGTTGTCTCTCCAAGCTTTCCCATGAGCCCTTGCCCTGTTCTTTGTTTGTTTGTGTGATCCCTTCCCCTAGGCCACAGTTACACATCTGTGGAAATATGTGTGCATGTGTATTTTTGTCTTAGTCTGTGAGTGTTTTTGGAGCTTTGAACAGTGTACACATACTGTGCTTGTGCATGCACACGTGAGAGTCTGCATCTGTGTGTGCACGTTGTAATCAGTGTGTAATCCCTTCCCTGAGGCCACTGTTCCACGCAGCTGGACCGGAGCCTCTTGAGGGTCTCTGTACAATCCAAGCATCCTTTGCTCTTTCCACCTGACCGGGTGGTGTGTGTGTGTGTTTGTGTGTGTGTGTGCGCGCGCCTGTGTGTGTGTGTGTGTGTATGTCTCTGTGTGTTTTAACAGGTGCAGTACAGAGAGCTGAAACTGGATCCCAATCCCAGTCCAAATAAAAGGAAGAAAAACAACCCCGGGTAGATCACCGCATCCCTCCGCTGATTCATCTCTTCTTCACGGTTCTCCTGTTGGTCTACTGCTGGACACCAAGGGGCAGAGGAAGGCTGCTCTTCAGCAACTTTCCCCTTTTGTTAATATCAAACTTAATTTTTTACTTTCATTTTTATTGTGTATATTATAGATTCCCAAAGTGTCATTTTTTTATGAGACAGGATACAGGAGGACTCCAGAATTTTCATTCTGG